TTTTGTAACGCTTGTTGGCGGCCTGTTCATCAATTCTTTGCTTTCTAGCCCTCTCCAGCGCTACCTCAAGTCCACCTCTTGGCCTCTTCTTTGATTTCCATGGGTCTTTTCGAGCCTTGAATCCCTTCACATTGGCATATTTGTCATTTGTAGCTGAAGCAGCAGCGCTTTGTGAGGGTGATGTACTGGTGGTTCCATCTGTTGAAAAAGCAATATGCAAGATACTGGTGAACATAAGTAGGGATTAAGCAATTAGTGGATTGGATTAAGATGTTTATGGTTTGCATTAGATCATTAGTGGCTTGGATTAAGCAATTACTGGTGAATATAAGTAGGGATGCTAACAAGATGTGTGAAATTACCAGGTACTGTTTGCTGAGTTTCTTGAGTCTGAAGGCTTTGGAAAGCTAGTTTAGTGAGCTCTGCAATCTTCTCCTTAACCATTGAGAAGACCTTGTCATTCATTGAGACTTTTGTTGCTAGGATAACCATGCTAGCACACAGTTCTTGATACCTCCCTGCATAAGTATCTGTTGCAGCACATTCTGTTGTGTTTATTGTGAACTTCTCTCCAGATTTGGCATCTCTCGTCCATCGTGGCAGAATGTATTCCTTAGGGATAGTCAATTGCTCAATATCATCACCATTGAATCCAACCATCTCTATCTGCCTGATTACATGTCTGCACAACCAGCCTGAACTTTCAAACAAACGACATGAGCACTTGTATTTCTTCTCCTCTTTGTTCACTAACACGACTCTTTTGCCGAATCCTCCCAGTTTCTTCACTTCATAAGCTGTCATTCCATCTCTATCCATAGATTCATTCCGGAACACAAAAAAAGCAAGGTTTTCTGAATACTCCTCAAGGAAAGAACTGTAGATCTTAGTTGTGTATAATTTTGCGACTTGCTGAACAAGTGGGCTTCTGTCATACCTGTTGGAAGATGACATACAACATACAATCATTCATAAAACATCTTGTCTACATTAATGATTTTATGGTATGTATTGTACTGTTTGTGGTGAGGATTGTGGGATTTATGGGTTATTTTAAGCCGTGTGTGGTGTGGATTGTGGTGTTTATGGGTTGTATTAGGTGGTCTGTGGTGTGGATTGTAGGGTTTTTGGGTTGGTTTAGGTGGTATCTGGGTTGTTTAAGCTTTTGCGGTGTGCATTGTGGTGTTTATGGTTTGGATTAGGTTGTCTGTGGTGTGGATTGTAGGGTTTTTGGGTTGGTTTAGGTGGTATCTGGGTTGTATTCAACTGTTCTGTGGATGCATTCTACAGTATAAAAAGTTCAAATAAAGGAAGTAATACGTACATGTTGTTTGGGACTGTGTTTGCCATTTGATAATCCATGTCCATTTCGTCTGATCTTTTCCGTTCGAGCAACTTGTTGAAGTATGTGAAGAACTCAACTAGGTTGTCATCTGGTTGAAGGTAGTTTCGGAGGTTGCTGTTACAAGACTCACTCAGCTGTGAGCTTCGCATACCAGCTGTGAAGTGGTCCTTAATCCATGCTGAAGACCACTGTTTTCTCACCTTGTAAATTGAATCCAACCAGTTCCTTGGATTGGTGCCTTCTTCTGGATAATATGTGTCTAGCAACCTTGACCAATTGTACTCAAATTCTTCCTCATTTTCTACTCCAAAAGTGACATATTGTAGATCTTCTAGAATGTTTGTGTTTGTGGTGTCGAGATGCTTCATTGCATTCTGCTTGATATGAAAAGTACACAAGCCATGGAATGCTTCAGGAATGACGGATCTAATCCCAGCGGCGATTGCAGCAGCTTGGTCGGTGAATATTGATGTTGGTCGGCTGCCTGACATACATTTCAAGAATGCATCGAACAACCACTTGAATGTAGCGGTTGTTTCATCATATAGGAGAGCAGCCCCGAAGATGCAAAGTGCACGATGGTGGTTGAAGCCAACAAACAAAGCTGTAAATTAAAAACAAAAAAAAGAACAACATAGAATTAAACATTGAAACAAACAAAGGCTGTCTTTTTTTATATATATGGTGTGCTTCAGGACGTTTTTAGTATGGTTTAGGAGGTTTGTGGTATGCATTGCGTAATGTTTGGTTTGCATTCAATTTCGAAATATCAAGAAAATTATCTAGTGCAAGGAATCCTTCTTAATGCAAACCACAAACCTTTTAATGCACACCACAAATCTTATAAAACAGACCACAAACCTCACAAAGCAAACCACAACATTTGCGGAAGCAGACCAGAAATCTATTAATGCAAACCACAAACCTCACAAAGGAAACCACAAACCTCACAAAGAAAACCACAAACCTCACAAAGCAAACCACAACATTTGCAAAATCCCACCAGAAACCTCCTAATGCATTATGTAATGTTTGGTATGCATTCAACTTCCAAATCTCAAGAAAATTGACTAGTGCAAGGAATACTGACCTAGTGGACGATAATTCTGGTTTGTCCTGTATGTGGTGTCGAAGCTGATCGTATCTCCGAAGCAACTGTAGTCAAACCGCATTCTTGCATCAGCCCAGAATATACTTGCAATATCTTCGTTACTATCTACCTCAATTTCATAGAAGAATGATGGATTCTTGTAAGCTTCATGGCGAAAATGTTCAAGAAGTATAGTTGCTTCGCCTGGTTTCATTGATTTATGCCTTGTCCCTGTGATATAGTTCTTCAGATCATGAGGGGTAAAAGGTACATTCTCCCTCCCTCCTGAAGTTGTGGTGAACAACTCATATGATTTCCGTAGTGAAACTCCACAATCTGCATGCACTTTTGCGACCATTGCATGCATTTCTGAGATCCCCTTGTTCGACCTCAAGAGATGTTTGAATTTTGGAGGGAGGAGATCATGGTTGTGTTCTGTTATCCACTTGTCCAGCAGCCATTCATCCTTCTCGATATCATATCTGAATTTGATTATAGCTGGGCAGCCAACTCTAGTTTCTGGTACAGCACGTTGATAAGCCTTCACATCTATTGATCCTTTATTCTTGGGATTTGACTTGCTTGTGGTCTTGTATCCTTCTTTGCTGCAGCAATACCTAGCATATCGTGCTGTTTTGGTTGGCTGTCTTTTTGTAGAACGTTTGACAGCTCCCATGTCCCTCACGCTGAAGCCAAGATCGTGAGCATAGTTCTTGTAGAATTGTTTTGCTTCCTCAATGGTTTTGAATGCCAACCCCAAACTAGTGTAGTCTGACTCGGACCTGTTTGATGTCACACCTGTAAGCAATGATGAAAGAAATGAGCACTTGATCATTTCATCTTGCGATAATTTTTGCTAGAAAAGTGAAAAGTGGTTTGGGTTGTAGTTATTCATGATGCTTTTATGACATTTATGGTTTGCATTACAGTGTATGCTTTTTTTTACAAACAGATTGCGGAATGTAACGATTAACGTTTTAATGGTGTGTATTGAAGGTGTTTTGGTGCGTTTAAGAAGTATTGTGGTTTGTTTTTAAAGTGTTTTGGTTGATTGTCTCTTTTTTTACTGTGGTTTGTTTTGGGAAGAATGTGGTGTGTTTGGCGATGCTTTTGGTATCGTTTATGGGATTTTTGTGGGCGGTTTAATCATTTCATCTTGCAATGATTTTTGCTAGAAAAGTGAAAAGTGGTTTGCATTGTAGTTATTCATGATTCTTTTATAACATTTATGGTTTGCATTACAATGTGCTTTTTTTACAAACAGATTGCAGAATGTAACAATTTAGGTTTTAATGGTGTGCATTGGAGGTGTTTTGGTGCGTTTAAGAAGTATTGTGGTTTGTTTCTAAAGTGTTTTGGTTGATAGTCTCTTTTTTTCATGTGGTTTGTTTTGGGACGAATTTGGTGTGTTTGGCGATGCTTTTGGTATCGTTTGTGGGATTTTTGTGGGCGGTTTGATTGGTAGTGCTTATGATATGGTAAATGGCTTGTATAAGCGTGATTGTGGGGCTCATTGTAAGAAAACAGGAAGGATTGAGTTGAGCGTACCTTCTTCTTGTTCATTGTTGCCACTGTTGGTGGAAATAGAGGTTTCCAGCTGATATCCAACTTCTGTTGCATTGTCAGAAGATGTTGCAATTTGCAGGAGTTGTTGAGCATCTACAGAACCAACAGAAACTTCATCTACACGATTCTCGTCCATCGTCAATGTCTTAGCTGCGATCAGGAGCTTGCTCAGCCGTCGCCGCCGTTGCTGTAGCTGCTGCGATCAGATCTCGTCGCCGTTGCTGTAGCTGCTGCGATCAGATCTCGTCGCCGCCGTTGCTGTAGCTGCTACGATCAGATCTCTTCGCCGCCGTTGCTGTAGCAGCTGCGATCAGGATCTCGTCGCCGCCGTTGTTGTAGCTGCTGCGATCAGGATCTCGTCGCCGCCGTTGCTTCGCCGCGCGTTGCTGTAGCTGCTGCGATCAGGCTTGCGTCGCCGCCGTTGCAGTAGTTGCGTTGCTCCGATGAGGATTCGTCGCCCTCGTTCAGCCTCGGCGCCGCGCGATTGGACAGAGAAAGAAACGGAGAGAGAAACGAGCTGGAAATTTTCGGACAAAAGGAGCTGGAAATTTTCGGACAAAAGGAGCTGCTAATTTTTGGTAGGACAAAAATGCCCTTCCTTTGTATTTTACCCTAGTCAACGCATGAATTTCAAAAGTATGCAGAATGGTGAGTTCCTATTGGTCCACCTATGTTGTTGTTACTATAACAACAAATATGGTGTTGTCACCATATCCGCTCCCGAATCATGTAAAAACCATTGAATAAACAAGTCCTCAAATATTGAATCCCCTGAACTAGAAGAAGAAGACGAGGAGGAGGAAGAAGAAGAAGAAATCATCTCTCGAAGTATGGCAGAAAAGTGAGGCAAAAGCACTGTTACTTCTGGGAGTGGAAAGAGTGGAGCCTCAGTTGAAAGGCATCGCCCACGAGTGGCTGTAAATAGAACGAGAAACTGTTACTTGGGCGATGCTATTTGCATCAATTACGTGGTACAAAGTTCAATTTCAATCTTAAATTTTTGTAGTTTGGTCATTCGGGTACATAAAATAAAAACTTCTTTTCCCTTACAGATGTAGGCCAAGCAAGCTATATTGTTAATCGCTATACACTGGAAAGTCTCGGCAGTGACTAATACAGTAATATATCAACTGAACTGCAAGCATTCCTCAAAAAGAGATCAATATGATATCAAGTATAGCTACTGACTACTGTTATGCTGTTAATCAGAGAACAACAGCAAACTACAACTGCTGCCTGCAAATCCAGAAGGGTGTCTAGGCAGTAGTAGAGCTCCTGTCCTGCTGCTGTAGTCTCGATTTAACGAACTCCAAAACCACAGATGCGAGCTCAGTTTGATGAGAACGGTATCCATGATCGGCACCTTGGATGATGTGTAGCTTGTGGTTCGGTATGACCTTGGCGAATTCTGATGCATCTCCAGCAGGGACAATTGCGTCAGCAGATCCATGGATCGTCAACACACTGTCAATACAAATACATAGAACTAGCACGTCAGCGAAGAAGTAGACAACACCTAGTCATGGATGCACTCAAAAAATCACCAACTACAGATGAAACGAACTTTGACACTGCGTTTACATTTTAAGAACATTTAGTTTCAGTTTGCACCCACCTGCAATCTTGATCAATTTGCTGGCATGCTTTTTTGCATATCTGTGTTGATTCTATCCATCAAAGCCTATTCAGTAACACTTTCCCTACAGAACTCAAAAGGGGTCGGATACTATGCTAACTCCTAAAGGGGTAGTGGTTTTTGACACCCTCCTCTTGATTGGTCACTTTTCCATTTAAGCTTTTTACTTTATTTATTGTAATCTTGTAAATTGGGAAAGCCTTAATTGTGATAATAATTATGAATGGGGAAGGAGAAAAACGTTGGTAATTATGAATGGGGAAGGATCTGGGGAAAAACGAAATCACCCCATTAATTACATAATTAATTTCTCTCACTGGTACATTAATTACACGTACCACTCCACTGGTACACGTACCACTCCACTGGTACACGTACCACTCCAGTGGTACGTGTACCAGTGGAGTGGTACGTGTAACCATATGTCCTGTTTAGGCTTAAAAAATTGTGAAGACTTTATGTTTATTCACATTCGAAGGATAATTTATTGCTTTTGGCATTGTTGTTGGCATTTCCCTAATTTTGCAACCCATTTTGGAACACAGTTTTTGGCTACTAATGGAAAGTTCCTATTTTTTCCCTATTATTGTTTATCATTGTTATGAAAAATATCATTGCACTGGTATTGTTCTCACTCTAACCTACCTTGTGGATTGCTCGCACCAGTGGAGTGGTACGTGTACCATTGGAGTGGTACGTGTACCAGTGGAGTGGTACGTGTACCAGTGGAGTGGTACGTGTACCAGTGGAGTGGTACGTGTAATTAATGTACCAGTGAGAGAAATTAATTATGTAATTAATGAGGGTGATTTCTTTTTTCCCCAGATTCTTTCTCTTTTCCAATGTGGTGAGAGACCCCAAATTACAAGATTAAAAAAAATAAAAAAATCAGTTTAATTAATACTTGCCAATGATTGGAAATAAAATTGGCCAATCATAAAGGGGGTGTCAAAAATCACTACCCCTTTAAGGGTAGTCACGCTAACTGATCCCAACTCAAAAGGTAGAGAAGGGAGACAGAGAGAGATTCAGGATAACTTGGCATTTTAGCTGATGCCATTTGCTAACTCGGTTCCCTAAAATGGGAATTCAACGTGAAAGAGTTAAAACAGTCACCCGCTTGATTCTTCACATCAATGAAACCTTCTTCCTTGATTCTTTCCAGAAAGTCTTCTCCAAGGCGCTCCGCTCCTTAGTGCCATTTTTCGGGGTATAGCGGCCAGAAAGGGTTAATTGCATGGTTGGTCACTGAGATTACAAAAAACGTTCATGTTTGGTCACTGAAAATATTTAAATCCAATCTTGGTCACTCAAATTAGTTAAATGGTTCAAGTTTGGTCACTCTCCGTCCAACTCCGTTAAATATGTCTGATGTGGCAGTCAACCCTCAAAGTTGACCGTTAACTCGGTGACGTGGCAATTAAAAAATAATAAATAAAATAAATTTTAATCTTCTACCATTTCCAATTCATTTTCACAATAAAGTAAAATAAAAAAAAATATTATAATCACAATTGTTGCGTCTCCTCCAAAATCTTTCTTTGTCCGCATTTACTCTTTAGTTCTTCCGCCCAATGACCTCAGCTCTATCAGCCAATCAAATCAACTTCTCAAAATCAATCCTTCATTTTCTCCATCCATTTATTGCGGGTTACTGATTCGACTCCTCTTCTCCTGTTTTCCCCTCGATTCGGGATCTCCCTCTCGAATCCCACCCGGTTCACTTGCCCGCTGGACATTTTGTCCGTCAATCCCGTCCCTAGAGATCGATTGAGGGCATTTCTGAATCTGGGTTCTGGTCCAAATCCGTCACTGTCTGGGTAATTAGTATACTACTTGTTCTTCCTTTTATACCTCTGGTTCAAGAGAAGCAGAACAAAAGAAGTTCCAAACAAAGGGGACTTCCCCAATTTCTCCATCATCAAGCCACTGGAACCTGTGGAGGTAAGCACCCGTCTGGTTATTCACAACTTCCGGGGTCAACACCTTGTTCTTCGGGTGCCCGCAGTTGTAGAGAACCATGGAGGACCAGTTCTTCCTAGGGTAAACTGTCCGGACGGCGCCATCCATCTTTGTGGTTTCCTTCGGGGTGTAGTCATGGTGGACGCACATGATGGCGTACTTATCGTCGGCCAGATCGCGGAGCTCCTTGATGTCGGCCAGGTAGAGGAAATCGCAGTCGACGAACCATTTTTTTTTGTCCACATTATAATAATTTTTTTTATTTTACTTTATTGTGAAAATGAGTTGGAAATGGTAGAATATTAAAATTTATTTTATTTATTATTTTTTAATTGCCACGTCACTGAGTTAACGGTCAACTTTGAGGGTTGACTGCCACATCAGACATATTTAACGGAGTTGGACGGAGAGTGACCAAACTTGAACCATTTAACTAATTTGAGTGACCAAAATTGAATTTAAATATTTTCAGTGACCAAACATGAACGTTTTTTGTAATCTCAGTGACCAACCATGCAATTAACCCCGGCCAGAAACATTGACAACGGTCTTTATATCATGAAATTTTGAAGCATATAGGAGCACAACGTTCCCTCCTGCAGCAGCCCCACAAAGATTGCAGAACAGTAGTTGAATCAAACAGCAAGCTCTCTACTAAATTTCTCTGGATCGTGTACTGGGAAAACTAGCCCCAATTACCTTTACTATGGCCAAGAATCACACTAACAACTCGATTTTCTCCAGCAAAGTGTTCAATCACAGAGCGCAAGTCATCAGCTTCCCTCCAAATGTGCCTGCACTTTGCCTGGCCTGCAAATCAGACGTTGAGATAAGCCAATGATCAAGCAGCAACCCTATCTGCAAAGAAATGGGAAGACAAAGATCCCCCTTCCCATGAACATTGTCTAAAGCTGAATCACATGACCTTTGATCATCAATGCAAAATTGATCATACATGCGAAAGAAATCCCGAAAAGAGAGCTTTGAGTCGAAGAAGAGACTTCTGTGGCTTACCCATTACCAGCAAAGTCGAATCGAAAGGCTGAGATTTCTTCGTTTACCAATGCTTTAGCAAGATTTTTCACGTTTGGGTTGTTCTGTAGATCATTAAAATACATAGAAAGCAAACAAAACAAATTCATTAAGCATGACTGTCCGAAGGCATTTGCCAAAAAGGGGATATCGATTACAAGTCAAAAACCTTCGTAGATAGAAGACCATGGCACAAGACAACGATTTCCTTGGACCCAAAATCATGCAGCACTCCTACCAGCTTCTCGTCGTGCTTGTTTGGAATCGTGACCCTCTTCTCCTCAACAACTAGGGACACGAATAGCAATAAAAGAATCAATCAATCGTAACTTAGACAGTCGACACTTCTTCCGGCGTGCATTCACGCAGAGTTTTCAGGTCGATAGGATGGAACCCTTTTGTCGTGCAGCAACGCTGAGCACTAAGACTTAAATCAGTGCACAACAAACAAGCAAAAGCACACAGAGCGACACACCACCATTTCTCTAATCCGTCTAAAGATCGTCTCTTTCTGTTCGTGGGTTGGCTGATTTTTACCTGGGTTGTGAGTTGACAGAGGCTGATTTTTCCGGCGCCGGCTGCGTGGTGATGCGGCGGCGATGTGTACAGCAGGAAGGAAGTAACGGCCTAACGGGAGTGACAATGTTCTTATAGGCTAATCAGAAAAAAAAAAAAACTCTAAAATAGGAGCTAATTTCATTACTTGTTTAAACCGATTAGAGACTGAGAAACCGGTTACTAACCGGTCAGCAACGAGCAGAAGCAAAACGACGGCGCTTTGTGCCCCTCTCCTTCCCAAATCGGCAAATCCCAAAAGGGTCGTCCTTCCTCCTTCCTCTGCTGTCTGCTCTGCATTCTGCAATCTCGATCTCTATTTCATCAGTCAACACCTGACGAAACCCCAATTCCCTCTTCCTCGCCGGCCGCCGCCTCACCTCCCTCGCTTCGCCGCCTATCGCGGTGCTCTGGCAGTCATCAATTTCAGCCGCCTTAGTCTTCTGTCTGTTCTGTTGAAACGAAGACTAAACCCTAAAATTTGCAGATTCGAGTCGTAATCCGCCGCCTCGCCTTCGTCATCCGTTCTCAGATTCTCCCCTGCGGCGTCATCTGCTCAGACTGCAGTCTTCGGCTTCCCTCCAACCTCCCAAGCTCCGCTCCTTTTTGGTTAGGCTTCACTGATATTCTAGGATTCTGATCTCTTCTCGCTTCCAGCGCTACAGCTTTGATTGATTTTGTTTTTTGTTTCGTTATTGGACAGCTAGTATAAGCTGCTTTGAACCTTCAGGATGTACAACGGGATAGGATTGCAGACGCCAAGGGGGTCGGGAACTAATGGTCACATCCAGACCAATAAGTTCTTCGTGAGGCCAAGGACCGACAAGGTTGCTCATGCTTCCAGGGGATTCGATGAAGACCAAGGCACTGCGGGGATATCCAAAAAGCCCAACAAGGACATCCTTGAGCACGACCGCAAGCGGCAGATCCATCTCAAGCTCGTGGTGCTTGAAGACAAGTTGATTGAGCAAGGTTATACCGATGCGGAGATTGCTGAGAAGATGGAGGAAGCAAGAAAGACGTTGGAAGCAGCATCGGCCTCCGAGGAAAGTGGTGGACCTACTTCTTTGATCTCAGGGGATGCTAAGTAAGCTACCAATCTCCATTTTGTGTTCATTGAGGTTCTGTTATAGGTTTGCTAAGCAACAGAATTTATCTGTGTTCTGATTGGGTAGAAGTGGCCGTAATAGGGGACTCTCTTGGTAATGTACTGACTTTGAAACGTCTGTCTGTCTTCATGGAGTTTATAGGCGCGCTGTACCTTGCATTTACCTGTATGTGCTCTAATTTTTCTTCATCTTTTTGCTGTATGCTCATATTTTTGTTGGGCCTTGGTTTTTGTGTTTTGGCTGGATATGGAAGTCTTATTTAGAATGGTGATTATGCTTCTTACATGGGATTGATATGATTTACAATGCTTGGTTTTCTTATTTATTCAATTATCCATAACCGGTGTCATCATGTATCCTTGTTTTGCTTCCCCTTTTGAGTGCTCTGTGGATTAGGCACATCTGAGGTAGTGTTTCAAAGCTGTCGTCTGTTACTTCCCGTTTGTCCATTCCTCAGAAGTCCTCTTTATGACAATTTGATTGGGAGTCCTTTTTTATAGGGGTCGTGCTGCTTGTGGATATTGTAAAATTGGCCTCATCCTACATGTAACTGATATTTGAAATTATTTATTTGTTTGGTTAGGATTTCCAACACACAGTCTCACCAAGTTGCTGCGAGAAAGGAGAGGCAGATGGAGACATTGAGGGCTGCTCTGGGAATTCAGTCAACTGATCCAAACAAAGATATTGCTGAGTTGAGCGATGATGGACCATTTACTGGTGGAAAGAGTGGTCTTAAGAAACCAGAACATTCTTTCCTGGATAGGGATTTCAAATGGAAGAAAGATGCTGCAGAAGATCTGGACATTGAAAGGGATGATAAGAAGCGGGCAGCTGGTGCTGCGAAAAGTAGGAAGAAAGGAGAGGAAGCTGATGAGGCAGGACAAGATAGAAGGGCGAAATCCAAGAGAAAGAAGCATCATCACAATTCAGAATCTGACGCTAGTAGCAGTGCGGAGGAGGGTGAAGTGGTTCGAGGGAAGCATGGCAAAGTCATACGTGTTAGTCGTAGTGATGAGGCCGACAGTGATTCAGATTATGGCAAGAAGAACAGAGCTTCAAAGAAGCATAACAAGAGCAGAAAACATAAAATATATAGCAATGATTCTGATTCTGGCCATGATACTGACTCTGATGATGGGAAGAATAAAATTTCAGGCAAGCACAATAACAGCAAGCATGGCCGCAAGAGGGATGACTCATCTTATGATGATGATACTGATTCAGACAGTGGCAAGAAGAAGAAGCCGAAGAAGAAGGATATCTCAAGGAAGCCTAAGAAAATTAGAAGTGGTAGTGAAACTGATGATTCTTCTGCCGATGACAGTGAGGGTGATGCTGCCAAGAATAATCCAAAAGTTCAATCAGAGAAAAGGCACACTGATGATGGGAAGGATAAAATTTCAGACAAGCACAAAAACAGCAAGCATGGGCGCAAGAGGGATGACTCATCTTATGATGATGATACTGATTCAGACAGTGGCAAGAAGAAGAAGCCGAAGAAGAAGGATGATTCAAGGAAGCCTAAGAAAATTAGAAGTGGTAGTGAAACTGATGATTCTTCTGCTGATGACAGTGAGGGTGGTGCTGCCAAGAATAATCCAAAAGTTCAATCAGAGAAAAGGAGCAAATCTCAGAGGAGGCGTGACTTTGACTCTGATGATGATTCTGGATCGGAGTCTGAGCCATCCAGGCATAGGCTTGAGGAGGCAAGACAGCATGCCAAAACAAGAAGGCGACATGACTCTGATGATGACTCTGATGTTGATGTTTCGGCTAAGAGGAAAGACACCCTTAAAATGCTCAAAGGTCATAGTGATGTGAACCAAAGAAGAGAAAAGAGAAATTCTGGTGCAGGAGCCCATTTGAAGAACCGAGACTCTGACATGGACAACGAATCAAGTCCAAAGAAAAATAGAGAACGCAGATGGGAATCAACTAAGAATGTTGCTAATGTTGATTATGACTCTGGCAGTGATGGGTCTTATGAAACAAAAGAGAGGATGAGGAATAAGGAGAAACATCATTATGGAGTGGGAGAAGAGAAGCATGATCTGGATGTTGGGAAGCAGATTGTTCAGAGAGAAGCTGGTCGTCTTAAGAAAGATCAAACGGTTGGAGAAGAATTGGATAGTAAATTTTATCGAGATGATGGTCATGGTCGTTACTCTAGGTCGCTTAATTCCAGGGATGGTGTCTCTGAGAAGGTTGGGGATGCAGAGAGAACGGAGTATAAGGCTGATGAATCTCCATATGGAAGTCAAATCCACCAACGATATCATGAAGGAAATGACAGGGAGAATAAGGACCTTAGGGAAGAGCGGCAAAAGTATAACAAAAACTCCAAGGAAGAAAGGGGGAGGGACAAAAGCTACACCAGAGAAGAGCGGGGAAGAGACAAAGATGTTGTTAGAGAAGAGCCTGGAAGGGACAGTTCGGATGCTAGGGAAGAACGTAGAAGAGACAAACGAGGTCCTAGAGATGAGCATCTAGATGATAGAAGGGACATCCGAGAGGAACATGGAAGAGAAAAAAGGGACACCAGGAAAGAGCACGCTGGTGACAAAAGAGATGTGAGAGAAGATCGTCGAAGTGATAAAAGGGACGTTAGGGAAGAATGTGGAAGAGACGATCGTGACAGCAGAGACATTAGGGAAGAACGTGGAAGGAACAGGAGCCATGCTAGGGAGGAAGAAGATGGTCATAGAATTAGAAGGTATGATAAAGTTGAACAAGAGGGTGAGCAACGGAAAGGCTTTACCGACAATGATGATGTTCAAAAGCGTGGAGTTCTGAGGCATGAAAGGGAGGAAGAAGGGCAGCAACAAAGTAGAGATGATGGGTTGGTTTCCTCCAAGAGAGCCCGACATGATGATGAGTCACGTTATGAAAATGACAGACGCAGTGACAGTCGACGCCGCTACCGGGACTGACCGTCTCCTGTTGCATGAAGCTATTTAAATGGTATGATTATGAGAAGGTTTCTTATATATTTTTTCATGCGATATTTTCATTATAGATAATTTAACTTGCTTTAGTAATTAGTAGGACATCCATTGAGCATGAGCATGGGTCGGGTGCATAGCAGACAGGATGGTGAAATGTAAGATACAATTTCGAAGGAACTATTGTGTTGTTGACTAATATGTTATGTGATGTTTTACCAATGTCAGCCACTTAAGCCACCTATTAAACATATTTGTTAGGCTGTGTGGGCAACTGCGGAGTGGGGCTGACCTTGGCTGATTATATTATTTTCTTGCATCACCTGACCGATGCTTGTTGTTTGAACCGTCATGCTCCAGCTTGTTTTGTGAAGTTCTTGTATATCTTAGTATGGACTTCTCTAATGGCAGACATGGTTATATTCATCTATATGTCCAAATGACATGTTTACTACTGTCTTGCCTTCCAGGAAGATGGTGGAGAGGACTATCCTTATTATGTGTGGACAGTGGCCAACTGTTTTGAAAGAAGCAGCAGATAGCGTATCTGTGTGGTACAAGAACCGGATTAAACCTCGATACGATCAGCAGCTAGATGCCGGAGTTTCCTCATTCCATCTGTGCTCCAAGTACGGCAGCCATAGAAAACAAAGAAAAGCACGGCTACCATATCGAATGTGATCCGTGGCTTTATGTAGAACATAATGATTTTACTAGAACATGTTTACGTTGTTTGACGATTGGGCTTGGAACAAATTGCAGATTTTGAGATTGTTGAGATGTTGCCATCATGTCAATAACTTCTTAATATTCAGTTGCTATGTTTCATGGGATGCATATGGTTGCAGTATTTACCCACTTAAATATAACTGTTTGCTTGAAAATGTCTGGTTAGTTCTCTATGGTAATTGAACAGATGCTTACGCGGCGCATCATATCTGCTCTGTTTGCGCTGCTCGATCTGTGAACATCGTCGCTATCTTCCAGACCCACGCTTGAGATTGTGTGTGTTCATGTATGGAGAAACCAGTGATGATCCTCGAGTCCTTTTGCGTATATGCAGGCAATGCTCAAACCCCTACACTACAAGAGAATCCATGGAGCGAAAGAGTATTGAAATGCTCAAACCCCTAAATCCATGGAGCGAAAGAGTTTTTAGTAGCTGGAGAGATGTATGAACGTTGACTGGTATTTTCAAGACTTAAAGTGGAATGGTGGATGTGTAGAAGGGCTATATTTAAGAGTTCATTTATATATAAAAAAAAATATTTTAAGCAATAATATAGTAAAAGTTGGATAAATGATTAATGACACAATTAATTATGATTGAAGTTGAATTAACATTTGATGACACAATTTAGTATGATTAAAATTGGTTGAGCAGTTGATAACACAACTCATTATAATAAACATGTGATGAATTTGTGGTTATATAAACCAATTTTGTATTTTTATCATTTGTCACGTCATATTTAACAACAAAATTTTATCCTATATATAAAAAAATGAAATTAATAAAATCTATATCAGGGGAAAATGTTTAAATTGGAGGATTTGGCATTCTAGACGTCCAGTTTGGTTTTTGTGTACGGTTTATAGGTCGGCGTAATAATAGGGTAGCCCATTTGGTGGCTAGGAAAGCCCTGTCTTTGTACCCGGCTACATGCCGTTTCTTTGATTTTCAGGCCTGGCTGTCTTCCAGGATGTAACTATCGTTATTTGATCTAATGGATTATCTTTTGTAAAAAAAAAAAAAAAGGCATTCTAGACGTCAATATTGAAGTAAAACACTGGAGGTGGAATACAAAATCTTGTCTCAAAATTTGGCCACTTTTGAATTTTGTATCGGAGGCTGCTGCTCGCTGGTTGATGAGATCCTCATCGTTGTAGCCCATTTCCTTATGCATTGGGCCGTAAATTTTAATGGTGTTTCCTGTCTGGGCTCACTATTCCCTTTACTTGAGGCTGATTGGCCTATTGGGCTTAAACCTTCCAGTTAATAAGAGAAAAAGTTCCCTCCTTTTCTCTAAACCGATTCTCCGGCGGCACCCCATCCTGTCTCTCACATTTTCACGTTCAGGTTGCCGGCGACCCCCTTTCTCTCGCTCCCTCACGGCGGCGGATCTGCTGTTCCCATTCTGTGAACCTCAGTCCGCACGGCATCTCTCTCTCACTCTTCTTGTTATAACACCAAAGAAAGAGGGCCTGAAGCTTCTCTACGTTAAACCCCAACATCTCCTAGGGTTTCTCTCCTCCCACACACTACAGTCACCTCGCCGTCTCGGAGTAATATGGCGCTCGCATCCCAAACTCTCGATATTCATGGAGAACGGCAATCCGGCCAGGATGTTCGCACTCAGAACGGTAAATCTCGCTGCCTCGCTTTCTGCATTTCGTCGATAGCTGGACTAGGGAAAATTTTCTTCAGCTTCGTTTCACTGATACTCAGTTGATTTGTGTTCTTTGTGGATCGTGTTGAATGGTGGCAGTCGTCGCGTGCCAGGCAGTTGCCAACATTGTTAAATCGTCCCTTGGTCCCGTCGGGCTTGACAAGGTAACTCTTTTTTCTGCCTCTCCCATTTTTGAACGAGTTTACATATCATGAATCCAAATGCATTTTTCTTATGCCTGTATTGTGTCTCTCAAAATGCTTTCAATCCGCAGTTAGTAACTCGATTATTACTTACCGGACGTAACAAAGCATTGTGTTTCCGGGATCATTACCAGAGACGAGATTTGATGCTAGTTTCCTGTTAACTTCTTCATTGTTGCATGTCATGTTAATTTTCATGTGTGAATTCTTAGGACAAAATGCGTTGTTTTTTTCGCTGCTCATTGCAGATGCTGGTGGATGATATTGGTGACGTGACGATTACTAATGATGGGGCAACCATTCTTAAGATGTTAGAGGTGGACCACCCGGCTGCTAAGGTAGATAGATATATCTTGGGAGTTTTTGGCTTCTCTATTATTTGCTTTCATCTAGTATTTACTAGTTCGAACGAGCTAGGTAAAGTTAATTTCTTCCAAGTCTAATGTGTATACCCCTCTCCGTCTGCAGGTGCTAGTGGAATTGGCTGAACTCCAAGACAAAGAAGTAGGAGATGGAACAACTTCAGTGGTGATAGTCGCTGCAGAGTTGCTAAAGGTGATTGATTGCATCTACTGTCTTTCTAGAAATGTGTTGTTTTTTCCCCTGTAAACTTGCATCACTTTGATTATTATTTTGCATTGGAACACCAGCAACGGGTTGGTACGGATGAATTTTGACAATTGTTTTTTATTTCCAGAGAGCTAATGATTTAGTGAGGAATAAGATCCATCCAACATCTATTATTAGTGGATTCCGAGTGAGTTGTTCCGCCATCTTTTATTTGCTTCCTTTTTTCCTTCTTTTACCAAATCTTTCATATGTCTTGACACTCCTGTTTAACGGTTTGCTAATTGTGGACAGCTTGCAATGAGGGAGGCATGCAAATATGTTGATGAAAAATTGGCTGTGAAGGTGAGATAATACTGTAACCAGGCTGCTGTTGGTATATAGTGTGCTTGACCCATGGTTGTTGAACTGATCAAGGTCTGCTAAGTTGAGCTGCAATCTGGTTCCTGCAATAGAGTGAATAACGGTGTTGCTTAGGCAAATGTTTACTGTGTTGTGATCATTTTAGATCTTATATTGATGCTTCTTCCAATTGTTTGTTTTATCTGTGTTCAACGAAGAGCTGTTTGAATTGATTGGTTTGTACCCATTCCTTATTTGATTAGGTTGAAAAGCTTGGAAAGGATTCTTTAGTGAATTGTGCAAAGACGAGCTTGTCCTCAAAATTGGTTGCTGGTGACAGTGACTTCTTCGCTAATTTGGTATGTGCTTGTCTTTGAAGTTTGAGTATCTTTCCTTCCTTTTGAGTTATTTATTACTGTCTGTTAACAATGAACACGAAACGCAGTGACTAGTACTTACTCACTGATGCCTATATAGGTTGTTGATGCTGTACAATCAGTAAAGATGACAAATGTACGAGGTGAAATCAGATATCCAATCAAGGTCAGCACTGCTTAGTTTTCAATGGTTTGTTTAGTCAGGTTCATGTTCCTCTTGTGTGGCTTATGGTTTATATATGTAAGTAGCTGCACCAGTGAGGTTCTATTGCTGACATGCATGGTTAAATCTTCTAGGGTATTAATATTTTGAAAGCTCATGGTAAAAGTGCAAGAGATAGTTACTTGCTGAAGGGGTACGCTCTAAATACTGGCCGTGCCGCTCAAGGAATGCCTACAAGAGTTGCACCTGCTAGAATTGCATGCCTTGATTTCAATCTTCAGAAGACAAAGATGCAATTGGGTGTACAAGTGGTTGTGACTGATCCCAGGGAGCTTGAGAAAATTCGTCAAAGGTACCATATACACATTCTAGTCTCCTTTCCATTTCAAAGTTAAGCTGCTATTTCAGTGAGTGGCTAGTCAAAATCGTGAATGATATACTATAATAATCCTTTGCATGCAATTGGCTATGTTCCCATGTATCATGGCTAGATGATTGCTGTCTGATTCTGTCATCGTTTGTCACTGAAGCAGAATATGTGTGCTAATATCTGCAGGGAAGCTGATACGACGAAGGAGCGGATTGAGAAGCTATTGAAAGCTGGAGCCAACGTGATTTTAACTACCAAAGGAATTGATGACATGGCTCTAAAGGTAGTTATATGTTTTACAATGTGTTTGTTGAGATTCACATGATCTTTTAGCTTTATGTCTTTGAATTATTGGATAATTTCACTTCAAACTTTGACCCTCTGTAATGTTTTTAAATATATGTTTAGAATTAATAGTCATTTGCAGAATTGACCCATATATATCTTTGTTATTGAGCAAATATATATCCAATCAATTTTACTTTTTCGTAAACTTTGTTAAACAAAATTGTTCCTTCTCTTCTCCCAGAACTTGAACTTAAGGAATTTCCTCAAATTTCAGAAAAAACAAAATATCCATAGTCCATTCTTATTTGAATGATATAATAGTTTCAGTGAATCTGAATATCTTTTTCGTTATACTTCTGCCCAGTACTTTGTCGAGGCTGGAGCTATTGCTGTGAGGCGTGTCCGCAAAGAAGATATGCGCCATGTTGCCAAAGCCACTGGTGCAACCATGGTACAATCTTATGTCCTTGATGGAATGACTTTGTAATACCATACATCAGGTTACTGTATATTTATATTCTGAATGGGCACACACAGCTTGTAATTGATTACTGAAGTAGAGTTTCTGTACTCTATGTAGTCTTGTGTTCTCTTGTCCGAATTTTTCCTTGACTTCATTTATGCTTCCTTTCTGATTGGTTTACCTGCAGGTGGGAACCTTTGCTGATATGGAAGGGAATGAGACCTTTGATTCTTCACATATTGGGTATGCTGCTGAAGTTGTTGAAGAGCGTATTGCAGATGATGATGTTGTTATGATAAAAGGGACAAAGACCACTGGTGCGGTGAGGAAAATCAGATTTTGAATTCTGAATCATGCATTTCTGAATAATGATAAGCTTTGATATTCTCTTCTCAGTTGGTGATAGACCTGATTATGTTTTCTGGAAGTTAGAAGAAGTGTTGGCTGTTGTTACTTGGAACTCTGCACTGCCATTTTTTAGAAAGTGTTTCTGATTTAATACTACCTGTTGTGCCAGGTTTCTTTGATTCTTAGAGGAGCAAATGACTATATGCTCGATGAGATGGAGAGAGCTCTGCATGATGCTTTATCCATTGTGAAGAGGACCTTGGAGTCCAACACGGTAAACTTAAGAGCACTTGAAACAGGAAAGATGGCATAATAGTATAATGACTGGTGGGTTATATTCTTGTTCATGATTTATGCTTACAGGTGGTAGCTGGTGGAGGTGCTGTTGAGTCTGCCTTATCTGTGTACCTGGAGTACCTGGCCACTACTCTAGGATCACGAGAGCAATTGGCAATTGCTGAATTTGCTGAATCGTTGCTGATCATACCAAAGGTTCAGTAGAAAATGGTGTTTCCCTCTTCATTGATTATGGCCCAGGTTTACTGCCGGCTTACATCTACGTGCAAGTAAATGAGTTGAATGTGTGGTGCAGGTGCTTGCTGTCAATGCTGCCAAGGATGCAACTGAGCTAGTTGCAAAGCTACGAGCCTGCCACCACAATGCACAAACAAAAGCTGACCAGAAGCATCACTCCAGGTATCCTTGCTGGTTCTGATTAACATTTGACTTTTACTACCCTCTTATTTGGAAGATGTGTAAGTTGCATTCTTGACTAACGTTACTTTTCTATTGTCCACGTCTTCCTGAATACCTGTCTTGTTATGCCTGGGACATAGACTGGGGAATATGGTTTGCTGTAGTTCCGATTAAACTCACAAGTCATTTCTCCCTAACCATTTACCTTCAAACTATTGCAGCATGGGACTAGATCTTTCGAAAGGTATTGTCCGTAACAACTTAGAAGCTGGAGTAATTGAACCTGCAATGAGCAAAGTGAAGATTATTCAGGTAAAACTGTTTTCCTGCGCATGAGAATATCTTCCTCTGGACTCCAGAAGTTCTTGTTCATCAATGTTAAAGGACACTTAGCCCTTGTGATTTGTCGTCTTTTGTTTTGCCAGTTTGCTACAGAAGCAGCCATAACGATCCTTCGGATAGATGATATGATCAAACTTGTCAAGGATGACGGCCAGAATGACGAAGAATAGTATTCTTATATGTTTATTGTTGCACTGTTTTGGCCCTAGGAATGGCGAAGATTTTTTTATTATGCAGGGGTTCTCTTTAGTTTGGCGTTGGAAGGGAGATTAGTAGAAGAAGTTAGGGAGTTACGATTGTGTGACCGTTGTGTGTTTCGATATGGTTCAGGAAATGTCGTATGATTTTCTATAAGTGAAACTCGTTGTGAGGTAAGCTAGAAGTGGTTGATCTTTTTGATTTATCAACCCGTGCCGAAAGCTTTAGACCTCCATTTTTGCTGTACTTGTGAAGTTTAGCCTACCTCGCGGAGTATAATTAGATATGGCGGCTATCTTTTGAAACACTTGAGCACTGTACGAAAGTGTATGGCTAGCGTTCGAGCCAAAAATGTATGGCATCCGAAGGATCTTCTACAAACATTGTTCATGATGTGTAAGGGCTGTTCTGCTGCCTGGAAGTAGTCCGCTCTCGGTTGAACGATAAACAAAGAAACAAGCTCCTGGTATTTCTTATCGCTCAGTTTACCCACATTCCTGCTCGATTACTATCAACATCACCAGGCTTCTTCATGTTTTTCATGTAATAGAAATTTTACATGGAAGCATTCCATCATTTATATTGCATGCTCCCGGACTGCAGAATGTTAAAGAGTTGACTAAACTCACATTTACAAAATCAGTTGGTTCGACAATCACATTCACATATGGACATGATATGCAAAAACCAAAGAAAACTAGGGCAAGGACCCCCATGGCACCTTTTCCTTGAGTCCTCTACACTGTAATAGTTTGCCAAGTTCCACCGAACATTAGTCAAGTGATGAGAAACCATACGCTTTACAGTAACGGTTAACATACTCGGAAACCATATCTCTGATTTCAGGGCAAGAGGTCATGTTCCATCCTTCAAAGCAATGAACTTTCCATTCCAAGTCTGCAGCTCTTCCAAAAATCAACCATGTGGATCAAATGACCAGATCAGGGGACTGCAAGAGATGGAAAATTTGAGGCATCCACTTAAGCTTCAACGGCGGCAACCTCTTCATCGGTAGAATCTGATGCAATGACTTCAGTCGGTTCACTATCCGTAGAGGTGGCACCAGCTACCTTTTCCTTCTCTGTACAGCCTGCTGTTAACTTCTCTTTGATCTTCATTTTCATTTCCTCTCGTGCATCTTTGTTGTTGTTTATAAATGCCTTCACAGCATCCTTACCATGGAAACGCTGATCCTCATACGTATAAAAAGCGGCCGCCTTCGTCAATATCTTGTATTTCAACCCTAACTCAATTATCTCTGATGCTTGGCATATTCCCTTGCCGAACTCGAGATCAAATTCTATGGTTTTAAATGGAGGAGAAAGCTTATTCTTCACCACCTTTATCTGAACCCTACTCCCGATAGTCTGCAAAAGAAATGAGAATCTGATGAGGATATGGTTGTTTTTCAAAGGTCTAGGAGCCACAACTGCCCAACACCCTTCTAAGACTTTGAGCTGAAACCGGAACCCACAACTCAAGTTTTTTCCCAGCCACCACTCGCAGAAGTTTGCTATTGCTCAAGCATTCACAGGATTGATATTTCAGAATCAGGAAGAAGAATAAAGCTCATAGTAACAAAAGCTTCAGCATCCAGAGCAATAGAAATGAAATGTGGAAACCTTAGAGCATATTACCATCACAATCAAATAACAGTTAAATATGATGCATTTAGTAAAAATAAAATTCCTACCTCCTCTGCCTTCTTCACAAGCCCTATCCTTTTTATGTTCAGTCGCACTGAAGCATAGAACTTAAGGGCATTGCCTCCACAAGTAACTTCTTGAGGCCCACCAAACCCTCCAAAGGTAGAAATCTTTGACCTCACCTGCATACACATGGGAGCAATCAAAGTATGATTACTGTGAAAAGAGTCCTCAGAGAAATAACATCAAGTGCCCAAACCAAACAATCAGATAATGTTCTGCTTCTACAGATCCAAGGATACCATGGAGCTTTCAGAAATTAGCACCATGCCCATCAGAGAACAGACACTAGTTCATTGCAGAGATGGAAATGGTATATACTTAAACAATCCCGAGTAAGATCAAACAATCAAGATTATAAAAATCAAACATCTTTACCTGGTTTATAAATATCAGAACTGTTTGCGACTGAGATAATGAATGGCTTAGTTTCCGAAGTGCCTGGCTCATCAACCTAGCCTGCACTGCCATATGAGCATCACCCATCTCGCCATCAAGTTCACTTTTAGGGACAAGAGCTGCCACCTGCCAACAATCCAATACAGAGAAGAGGGGTTAGTCCTAAATAAAAATTCATATCGATTGCTATCAGACTTTGCAAGTGAAGATTCCACGTTGCATTCTTCAGTGCAAAGTGCAGTGGAATTTATCAAAACATACAAAGGAACTACTGAAGAAGGGCAAAAATAGATCCAGCAAAAGAACTAATCATTAACTAGAAAATATTTCAGGGCATGCAAGATGAGATAGGCTTAAGCAGAAAAACAATAGTTCTCATTCTCAAAATCACACCAATCCAGTCATCATTAACAAGCGTAGAAGAACTATGCCGCTGAATATCCACAAAAGTATGAGAATGCATGGCACCTTACTTACACTGTCAACAACGACCACCCCAACGGAACCACTCCGAATTATGGTATCCACAAGGCTGAGAGCTTGTTCACCACAATCAGGTTGGGAAAGTAACAAGGTCTCCGTATTCACACCAATAGCCTCGGCCAATGATGAATCAAGAGCATGCTCCGCATCAACGAAAACACAGTATTCTGCAAATGAAAGCACATGTTAAATCGCCGAAAATAGTTACTAGCCAATAGCCATCAAGTCTTGCATACTATCTGTAAAAAAAATTCATGTGTACTCCTAAAACGAATGCAAACTGCAAGCAAACACATACACAATGTTGCAAGAGCATAGGGTTGAGCAGAGAGACACGTCCAAACTCTTTTCCGTGTCTATATTTAGTAATTGTTATGGGGAGACAAGGTGGGTAATGATTTCTGCTAGCAAGTATCACACCATCCTAGCACTGAAAACATCTGCTAAATTCCTATTTGCAGAACCAAAAAATAAAAGTGTGTCATATAGGTCAACCTCCTAGCTTCTGTGCTTCAGCGATTACATGTAGAGCAAGTGTGGTTTTCCCAGATGCCTCAGGACCATAAATCTCCACCACACGTCCCTGTGAAAATTCAATCAATGAAGTCACATACAGAACCATTGATGGTTCAATTTAGCTAAAACGGAAACCAAGTTAAGCTATTAGATACGAAACCACAAGTTATGATGCAATTGTTAAGACTCAATAGTCACTTTGAAATTGGAGATAAACACCAATCCCAACTTCACTAGAATTGGTGATTGGCAAGAAGCGAAATGGACTGCAGAAACAAACATAAATATTGACAATATGCAGAGCTCCCACTGTGCAAAATAAGCACATCACCAGTCCACACTACCCCTACCCTATGTATGCCCACCTTGCCAGACGTACTCACATATGTCCAAATACAAAAACACCCAATTGAAAACCATTGAGAATTGTGCAAAGCATTTGAATGCACTAAGTTGTGAATGTCTTCGCTAAAAATATTAGCGTACCTTTGGGAATCCCCCAGTGCCGAGAGCTGCATCAAGAAGAAGGGAACCTGTGGAAACAACAGGCACATCTCTTGGAGCAACCGCCCGTCCAAACCACATAATAGATCCTTTCCCAAATGTGCTGGTTATCTGATCAAGAGCTTGCTGTAGTGCTACCTCTCTCTTTGACATGTCATCCTCGCCGGACTCACTTCCATCAGACTTTGATTTTCTTTTACCTTCAAAAGTAGAGTAAGTCTCACTCTATCACAACCAGACAGAATGAATAACACATATACCTAAACATAAAGCATGGCTAGCCTAATTCAAGGTATAAAGAGCTAAAACAGAACCCAAAACGATACACGCTACAACTCAGCTTAATTCCCCTGGAGCTAGCCAACAAAACGATGCGACACAATTAGATGATTCTCCATTTCACAAACTTTTACTTTACCACCTGACGCTTTAGGGCAGAAAGTCGTAAGCCTTTCAAATGCTCAAACCCCCCAACGGTTCTCATAACCCAGTTAGTGGAACATGAAAATCTTCCTATCAAATCAGCCAGACCAAACGAAAAATGAAATTTTGGAGCACCTTTGGTTGCAAAGTTGCAAACTTGAGACGAAGTTCCCAATATCCCTCTCCTCAACCCCTGCAAAGACAAAACGAAATATATGAATGGTGAAGCTGAAACGACGCAAGTGGAACCAAAATACCCCGCCCAAACCGTTCACCCAAGGATGGATGCAAACGCAGAAACTGATCGGAGCAACAGCAGCGAAAAGAACTTCAAATTCAACTACAGAGTGTAACCAAACAGGCTACCGAAAGCAGAAGCCCAGCTGAAGCGTGGGGGAGAGGTTGCTGAAGAAACTTACCTCTGGTACGAGAAACGTCTTGAGGGACAAAGTGTTCCGGAGAAGAAGTCTCGCCATGGAAACGGCTCACTGTGCAGCTTAGTGGGCAGGAGGAAAAGGGGATGTCGGAGTAGTCTAATGCTCCATGCTGGCAAAACTGTGAAGAGGGTTTAGGAACTCTTCTGTGTGGCAAATATTTTTGCTAGGGTTTTAGGTTTTTGATTTCCCTCCTTCCCGTTTTCATGTGCTCTCCATTTTCCACGAGTTGAGTTTACGAGGGAGACTTGAGACAGGGCGCTTGCCGCGTAGGACTTAATGGGTCGGGTCGGGTCTGGCTCGGAGTGGGCTTGAAATCCATAATTGTGGATCATTTGGTGAAAAAAAGTTACAAGACTTTGAAATTGAGTGCTGGAGGTGATTTGATGAGCATGTATATTGTTACACTGGTTTTAGAATGTGTCCTATCAATTTTACCAGATGTCTCCACGAATACTGATTTTAGAATGTGCGCTTCATATCGTATTGTGTTTTCGGTATGAATCATGATATTCGAGCCTGTCGCATTGAGTTTTCAGTATGAAAATCATGGTATTCGAGCTTATGGCGGAGTATAATCAACAAGATTCAGCTGTTATTGAACAAGGAGAGCAAAGCAACAAGCCTCGACAAAATTCCAGTAAGATTGATTGGTTAAAGAAAGGAAATAAGAGCATAGAGAAACCCAACGCAACACATTCACATTAAGATAAAACCCTGCCGGCCATGGATTACACGAAAATAACAACAAAGAGCAAAGGGGCAAAATTAAGGAGAAACCAATCTGTGTCTTGACTCTGGAGTCTGGACTACAACTACTATAACCCTAATCAATCTATCCCTTCCTCAACAAACAAACTGACTTGCATTGCACGCAAGTTAAGAAACAAGAGATAATGAGAAACAAAAATGGATAAAAAGGAACCACCCTCCAAAACATCCACGGCCGTCTGTGCTCTATCTCCCCTCTCTCCCACACTGCCCAAATAAAAACTAAGGCGAAAACATCATCATCTTCCTTCCACCATCCAAAACTCTAAGAGGCTTTGACATCTTTTACTGCTGCTTGCACTCTGGAGGCCGCTCTCCCTGCTGCTGGCCATCCACTGCTTGTGTCTTGCTGCCACCACTCTTCTGCAAAACGATGATAACAATCAGTTTTTGGGATATGATGCTACCGAACATTGCAAAACAGCATTGGCCAGGAAAGTTACTGTCTGGAAACAGATATAGAAAGATGATGAGAGTTAATACCTTGCTCCCAGCGGCACCCTGCAGAGGGATTTGGCAACAAAAGTAAACAAAGTTAATGCTCTTGAGAACAAAATAGGAAACCGAACTTGCATGAAAAGTGGGAAATAAAGAACCACGTATATGCTGAGTTTAGATATTATAATACAACCACCTTCTTAGTCTTCACCTCTACTTCATCCTCGTCATCCTCATCATCATCCTCTTCCTCATCATCCTCTTCATCTTCGTCGTCATCTTCATCGACATCATCGTCCTCATCGTCATCCAGATCAAGCCCATCATCATCAGCTGGTATAGCCTCCCCGGTATACCATGACACAGCATGGGGGATGATCTTGTCCCGAATGGTAGAACTGAATCACCATCACAATAATCGAATCAACTCAAGGGTCAGGGACATGATTACATGAAACAGCATTAAGGATGCCGATCAAGGATAGGGCAAAAACCACTACTCACCCAATGTCATAGTCTTGTTCCATTTGATTCTGAAGCTCTTCAGCCTGTTTTCAAGGACAAGGATATGCAAATGAAGGTTAATAGACCTAAGAAATTGAAGTCTTGAAGAATAAAGTTACAATAAGGTGGTTAGGTAGTCATACAGTATCTTCATCGATCTCCTCATCATCCTCAGGAACTTGAGGAGGATTGAAGAAGTTGAAAAAGCTTTCACACTCCTCGGTTTTGGTTATGGGCTTAGCATTCTTGGACCCCTTCTTTGGCTTCTTCTTGAGGATCTTTTGGGTCAAGCACTTCCCTGGATACCATTCGATTTCAGTCCTACAAATTACACAACCACCACCACGACTTGCGTAAGAGAAAATCCAGGATGGACAGACAGCCTTGGAATAAAGCAAATAGAACAATACAAACAGTTAAATGTCAAAATGGTTTTACCCAATAGCTTTCTCAAGAATGGGCTCATCCTCGTCAATCATGTGATATGTCTTGGTTAGGACAGAGTTCTTGAAGTAAGGATTGGTATCAAAGAAGAACTCAAGCTTGAACCCTTTGGGCTCTTCCACTCTGCACCATTTGATATCTTTCAAATACTTCAAAGCTCCTTCATCCCTCTCAGTAATCTAATACAAGTAAACACGAAAGAAATCAAAACCATATTGTTACACATCATTTATCTTGCTCAATACACCAAGGCATTTACGATAGGAGCTCCGAACCTCCTCAGTTAAGACTTCATTATTCTTCATGGCAAGGAGCCAAAACTCTGGGACACCTTTCTCTGCCAATAAGAGAAAACAAAACACAACTTCAAGCTCCATACCTACAATGAGGCAAATCCCTCCAACTAAGTAAAAAAATTTAATTATACCTTCAACTGCCTCAGTCTTATCCCCCTCTTCCGGGACTGCACTTTCCTTCTTCGGTACTTCCTCGCCTTCGGAAACACCGTTCACAATCCCATAACGCTGCATGACAATAAACCAATATTTTGTAGGGAGGGTTCAATCAATCAAGTTGACGAATCCCAAAAGACAAATGAGACAGCACCCATATAACATCATGAGGCGCACATTACCTGGGTGTAAAGCGGTTGGTACAACTTTTGGTACTTGGCTTCAAGGGCCGCCCTCTCCTCAAAAAATTTTGCTTCCAGCTCATCATGTTGGCTCTGTTCAACGAGAGAAATCGTTTTATACATGACAAACCAAGCACCACTAAAAGGGGCGAAATCAAATTTAGAACAAGGGCACATCTTTATTATAACACATGCCTGAATTTCTCTGAGACGCTCAACACGCTCACGCACTGGAGGAGGCAAGGCCTCGATCATATCCGTGTGCTGCCCAGCCAAATTTTGCAGCTTATTCTGCAATCCCAACAACACAATCTCAGCACCAACAGCAAACAAAATACCCTTCTCCTCACATAAGCAACTTACCATTCCCGACAATCACGAACTAATATTTTGCCCAATTTACCAATCATCGAACCTAAAGTCCTAGACTCCACATATTTCACATCAAGCACGAACCCAAAACAATACACGAATTCTCGAGACCAACAAGAACAAACCCAGAATGAAAAAGCGCCCTACTGAGCAACTGAAGATAAGGCGGCAAAAGGGACTGGAGAAAAAAAAACTGACCTTGAGTGCGTTAACAAGCCCAGCACGATCCCCTTCATTCAAAGCTGCTACCCAAAAACACCATCCACAGTCAGTAGGCAGAGCGAGAGCAAAAATACTGAACGGAGCAGAGAAAAAAGGGTTACTAGGGTTTCCCTACCTGCGCTAAGATCGGCCATATTGAAGTTAGCCTTGTCGCTGCCCATGGTTTCAGACGGAAGTTGAAAAAACAGCGGTAGTGAGAAAGCTTGGAGGAGGCGAAGTAGCCGTCTCACTAAAACCCTAGATTAGGGTGGCAGAGAGAGAGAGAGCGCAAGGAAAAAGAGACGAGGCCGCGGAAAAGGGAACTGGGAAGGAGAAAAAGCGTCTACCAGCTCGCTCTCGGCTGAATGGTTGAATGGAATGGAATCCTTTCGGTTGGGTTTCGGCTATTTAAAGCCCTGCGCTCCTGGGCTGGCTGGCATCAAAAAAAAAATTTCCTTTTTAATTTCGATATATGCATTTTCTTTTTTCATTACTCTACTAATAATTTAGATTTTATTTTCCTTTTCTCTTTGGGAATAGAATGATATTTGTTTTAAGTTTGATTCCATAAATTCGAAATTATTTCCCTCCTTATCTTTTAATTTTCAATCTGGCATGTTTAGTTGTTGATAATTCCTTGAGAAATGATGACGACTTTTTAAAGGACATAATGGACTTTTTGTATGCCTTTGGCTTGTTTGGTTTGCTTATTTTTATCAAGTCCTGTGTATTTAGACTTTAGAGAATAAAAAAAACTAATTATATCACAGGAAAAATGTTGGGTTTTTAAAAAAATTGAAATCAAAGTATAACTTAGGGTTTATTAGGGCACAATATGTGGAACAGTGACATTTAGGGTTAATTAGGGCACGAAAGACCGGCGCCCATCCAACATTTTGGTAAGAAAGATAGAATTTATTATCGTGATTAGTGAAGTTAAAAGTGAAATGAAATCATTTAAACCTAATTTCCAAAAGCGCATGAGAGCGATTGTACTTACATACTTACGATATATAGGATTACTAACATGATTGTTGTTTGTCAATGTAAATACTGCTTGAGAATATTTCATTATCAATCTACCATGTTTTAACTTACGTACATAACATGTCATAATTCTAATTCTAAATATCAATTTAATCAAAGCTCGTATAATCAAACCGATATGATAAACTGGTTAAAACTATACTTTAGTTTACTGCAGGCAATTCATTCGTCAGTTACTTGTTCGGACATAAATTAATACACATGCAATCATCGTAATCAATTTATAGAATAACATATAGTAAATGCAAAAAGTATTCAAGCTTGTAAAACTAAAAACAAGACATAGTTGTTTGTGCGATTGGTGAAGTTAGATCATACTTGCCAATTGAGTAATTGACAATACTCCACTTTCATTTTATGTTATTCTAATGTATATTAGTATATATATACTTGTAGCATACATACATTATCCTTACCCTATAGTTAATAGAGGCAAGTATAACCAAAGTATTTATAAGGAATTGAAAAACTTACACTTTAATTGATTCATACTTCGATACAAGTTATTTTGTTTCAAAAGACGAAATCATTTATCTCAGTACTTTAAGATGAGGAGTTTTGAACCACATGATCCTATAGGTGAGGAGCCTTTTTTTTTTTTGGCGATGTCATAGGTTTGTTCTAATATTATATTTTTTTCGAGATCATCTCATTGTTGAGTATTCCTTTCACTACGGCGTCCCCTTTTGGTATCCTTACCTTTTTTTAATTGTCTCTCAAGCTAGAGTATCGGTCACTTATAGATCATTCCTTTAATAGCAACTTGTTTCTTTGACTGGACTTGACCTACTACGGTGTCTACTTTAACTAGTAAAGTCATGTTAGGTTAGGAGGGGAACATTTGAAGGGAAGTTATTATGCCACATAACAAACAGAATTATGTTGGTAAATTAGCGTCTCAACGTAGATTCTTCTATGATCTCAATGAAAATTTGGTCCAATGAAGGGGCATTTACCAAGCTCATTGACGTTTGTTAATAAATCAAAATTATTGTGTCCAATATTGCAATACATTTGAAGCACAAAATGTGAATTGACTTACTTGTCCTTCTTATTTTTTATTTGATTTTCAAATCAATATTTATGGTATATTATCTTATTAAGATTTTTTCATTGAACTTGGTGTGTTTATCTCTTTTTCTCTTTATAATATGGTATCATATCATCAAGTCATAATTCCATTAGGCAAGCAAATTTTACCATTTCTTTCGGGAACCAAATTTTCAAAGTTATTCCTTTTATTTGTCTTAAGATAAGGCAAACAAATATAGAGATTACTAAACAATAAAAATTACATATTTATTAAGTTTCTAAAATTATAAAAAGGAATTCATATAATTTGGATGGAAAATGAAAACAAAAATTTGTGTAATATAGATAATTAGATATGTAAAGTAAATATATATCTTTATTAACCATTGTGAAAATATAACTGTATTTGGTCATGGCGGTAAAAATGTATTTGGACATGTTTCTTTAGTTGCCTTTTTATCTTAATATTTCATTTTTAAAAATTTGAAATGATTTTCCTCGTTTTATGTTTCCACTATATTTTATATTGTCTTATAGAAAAGTAATTAGCTACTTAAAACATTTTAAGAGTTTGTTTCCACAACTTACAAGTTACAATACATGAAAGTAAATCTTACTTGAAGTTTGTTACGTGTGTTCGGTAGGTCATAAACGGGTGGAGTTGATCACATTTACAAATTAGATCCGACACACGATTAATCAAGTCGACCACACTGACAAAATAAGTCGATCACATTATTAATCAGGTCAACCACAAGCTTATTTAGGTTGACCACTTATCCTTTTGTAAATATATTAATAGTTAGGTTTATAAAGTTACATCAAGTTTTTTATTGACAACTCAAGAGGAGAAATTAAACCTCGAAAGCTAAAAGCATGAACACAACGAAGACAATAACAAAGAAAAAAGTATATGAGTATAAAATAAAGGCCCAAAGTTGATTTATTTAAAATCGATAAAGTACAAAAGGTTATCCATTCATAACAAATGTGAAACCTCGCCATAAATGAGATGCAACAGCCCACAAGATTATGTTAAGAATATATTAGGGGTCGTTTGCTTCATGGATTTAAAAATGAGGGTTTTGTAATTTAAAAACCCAAGGATTTATCAAGGATTTGAGGCATCATGGATTTGTAACAATCCTTTGTTTGTTGGGATGTTTTTATCATGGATTTAAAGGTGTGGGATTTACTACTTAAAGTCAAAAATTACATTATTGTCCTTTTCTATACGTTTGACATGTTTATGATATGTACACAAAACAAGGACAAAACTTCAAAATTACCCTTACTATCATTTTCTATATGTTGGCACATGGACAATAATAATAAACGATAAAATTCCGTTTTAACTTTTAACGTAACATAATCAATTACCAATTCTTTGTCCTCCTTTTCAAAAGTGACATATAACAACATATATTAGAATCGGGAGAACAAAGAATTACACGTTCCATGAAAAGGTCAAAGAAAACTAGAACACAAGAAATGATATAAAAAATCTAACTCATGTTTGCACATTAATTGAACGTTTATATTATTCATTTATTGTTAATTATAATGTATAATAGTTAAATTTGAGGGTAACCTTGAAATATTAAAAGTGCATGAGGGTATATGGGTAAAATCTCATCAAGGATTTATGCCATATTCCAAATCCCACATCAACATGTGAGATTTATAAGTCCGTGGGGTCCACGGATTTGGACCCTTAAAATCCGTGGGCCCCACGGATTTGGTCTCCAAAAAAAGTGCAAACAAACAACGGATTGTACCTAAATCCTTGATAGTTGGTTTTTTGGTACCAAATCCATGTACCAAATCCTTGAAGCAAACGACCCCTTAGTTTTAAGATATACATAAAACCCTCAATTTCATTCAAATTTACACAAAATTAATCGATCCAAGTACCAAACAAATGATTGACCAGATTAGGGAATTTCGGCCATATTTTAATGTATTCTATATTTCTCGACATGCTTAAGGCTTAGGATTAATATTCTAGAGGTTAGAACTAAGGTTTTAGGAGGTTTCAAGTTTTAGGGTTTATAATTTAGGGTGCATGGTTTTCAATATTAGGTTTAGGGTTAGCCAAAGGATTAGCAATTCAAGGTTTGAGATATTATTTTTTAGGGGGGTTTAAAGGTTACGATATAACGTTTGTGATTCAGGCGTTTTCATATTTTTGTATGATTGATAAAAAAAAATTCATTAAGTGCCGGGATTAGTTAAAACCAATGGTCCTCTCAGAAGTACATCATCAACCTTACAAAAACTTGTGTAACTATCAAAACCATGAAAGAACTACACCAACTCTAAGAAGCTAAGGATTGTTACGCTATAAACATGAGAGAACAATTTGTAATTCAAAATAATAAGTTGCTAGATAATCTGCTTCAGATATGATCCTTGTTGCAAGCTGCGTAAGAGATTACACTCTCACATCACCATAGCATCGTCTACACCGCTCCTTCCAAACATGGCTTAGCACCATTGCCTCGATGACCTTGCCTACCCTTATAATAGTCAATAGCCTACTCGAGCTTGTCATTCTAATCAGTCTATATGGAAGACAAAGCTGTAGAACTTCCAAAGCATATGAGCAAGTAGCAAATAAGTGATCTCTCGATTCCAGCCCACCGGGACACAAACCGCACAACACATCAGTGACACTACCCCAAAGGGCAAGTGTATCTTTTGTAACTATTCGCGATTCATCACAATCAACCAAACTAATAGACTACGTTTTGAAATAGTTTTCTAGTTGGAACCATGGAACAGAAGGATGCATAGGGCGAATCGATGTCCCATTTGTGTTCACGGAGAGAACCTTGGAATAGCAGACTCGTCCCATTTGATCGGGGTAGAATCACCCGTGTTTGTGTTCTTCTCTAGTTTTCAGAACATGTTTCCAAACCCAAGATCCATTTGAAAAATAACTGGTGTGAGCTATGAAGGAACAACCATTTTGTACATTGTTCTGTTTCCATAACTCAAATTTCAAGTCCTAACTTTATATTTGTACTTCTTCAATGTTGTCACAATTTTTTTTTATTCCATCCTAGTTCTGGATTTGTCAATGTGTTCATTAATATTTTATGATAGAAAACGTGGTTTACCTAATTGAAAATGCAATCTACCTGATTGGCAGCATAGTAGAACTAGTCGATTATATGTGGTCGGCCACAAACTAAACTCAAAGTAAGGTTACATGGGGCTATTGGATTCTGAACTCTTTTTTTTTTTTTGTAATTTATTTAAGAGATAAGGTAAATGTTTAGATATATAATGTGTATTATAAAAAGTATACAAATGTATGTGACAACGTTAAAAAATACATGCGTAGGAAAATTGTGTATCGAAAACAATGATCCGTCAAAATAAAGGCCCAAGATGATAAAAGTATATACATACAGTTAAATCTTATTGAAGATTAAATCAAATCAGTGAGACTAACCATCTAAAATATGATATTGTAATAAAATCACATAGGGTTTATCACATATATATAAAAAAAAAAACTGATGGGATGCAACTACAATCCAGCATCCAGGTGAAAAGCTTGGTTCTGAGTAGGTGAAATTATTAGTAGCAAATTATGGTTTACTTGGTTGTCGCAAGAACAAAGTACCGTGAAAAATGTATGGAGCCGCTCCTCCCCGTACAAAGCCGTTTCCTTTCTTGGTATGACCATCTGGGCAAGTACTAGCAATAATAGCATCCTCGTTTATTTCATAAAAGCATCAACTAGTTTCCAGTCCCTTCGGGACATCGACAAAGCATCATCAATCGAACTAATGTCGACTTCCCGAAAAACAATGTGATTTTGTGAAATGTCGATGATAATAGATATCGAAGGGCTGATAATCCTAATCTCACATCGCTCTGGAAGAGCCATTGCCCGCTACTGCACGCTTCTAGGAAGTCGCTTACTCGCAGTGGATGATCAGAGAAACACAAAGACTTAGAAAAATGGTGGCTTCCTTTTTCCGCCGTGAGAGGAGAGATCATGAAGTTGAAGATCCGGCTGCATTGTCGGATGTCGATTGGGTTGTTGTTGGCGGCTTCTCAGTGGTCAGTACTCGTCCGGTAAGGGGATCGACTGGACGGGTGTCACGTGGCCCACCTTTGCGGCCCATGGCCAGCATTGGCGGCGGAGGGAGGACCCCTGCTCTGAACAGGATCCGCTGGACAGGGTCAGAAGGTTGAGCACCAACTGACAACCAATACCTGGAATAGAGAAACCACATGGGCAGCATGGTGACTACGGAGGGATATCGTTGATAGATCTTATATTACAGTAACACACACATAGTAAATGTAAAAGATCTTGCATATTGATGCACGGCTAAACCAGACACTAGAAGGTGGAAACAGTTAGGAAGTTCAGTGGGCAAATTGAAGAGTTGAGGTCGGTTACTCAACCAAGAGTTCTGAATGCTATAAAGATGAATGAGAGAAAAGGAATCAGACACAGCAATACTACTCTCACCATTAGCGGATATTTGCAAAAAGGAGGCAATACATGCACAACTGAAGATTACTGGAGGGAGTTTTACCAAGAGAACTTTCACAAATAAAGTTTTACTAATGAAAGGAAGCAGCAATTGTTGCAGCTATAATGGCACTTCATTCATTCTTGAACCAGCAACTTTGAATAAAAACCAGTTGGCTGTCTGACAAACACCAAGGATTACAAGAATTAAAAGTTCAACAAGTGAATCGTCATATATAGCCCTGATTCCATGATCACTTCCTAAGTAAAGAAATCCTCAATTGCACACTCATTCAAGACAAAAGTACCACAACTAGCAGTGCCCTTCTCACTCAACTCATTTCTACTTTTATTGCTTCTTCACTTTTAGCTGTATTGGGTTTTTTTCTTCTTGGCAGGGTACCTGTTACTTATACCCTCTAATACAAATTTATACTTCGATACTTTGTAGCCTTTATCTCGAACAAACACAACCGTACTAACGAGTGTGATCACCGAAAAACACATCTTATGTGCAAAATATCGTAGATAAAACCACTCAAAACACCCTGACCTTCAGTATCGAGATGCAATCAGAGCATAGGAAGAAAACAAGGAAGGACCAAGTTACTTACTTTATTCGCTCGAAATTAAGACCCATTCTTTTGCCACCATCTTGACCTATAAACCAGAAGTTGACATATCCAGCAATCAGTATGGCACTAATGCCAAGCTGCCACCAAAATGAGAACAATTCTATACATCATTCTGATACTCAGGGGACTTGGGAGGGAAAGGTGTTACCTGGCAAGGGATTGTAGTAGCCGAGTACTTCAAGATGTTTGCCGTCTCGAGGGGATCTGCTATCAGCAGCCATCACTCGATAGAATGGCTTGTTCTTGCAGCCAAACCTGGACAACCGGAGCCTGACCACCATTTCCCCCCCTCACTTCTTCTCTCTACCTCGTGTCTGCGTATTGCAAATTCACACCAATGAGATCAAATACTATAGCACACTGACAATTCTCTATCCTCAAATTCCCTACTGAGCTAGGGTTTAGGGTTTTGTTCGGCCGTACAAGCTTTCGCTGTCAATTGATTAAAATTCTAGGAATCCATCAGGCATTCTGATGTCACTTACAATTCAGCCAATCGTACTACTTTTCAAGCTGAGCCATTCTGCACGCCGGGGGAAAAAAAACTGAATGGGAGGAGGAGAAGGGCTTACTACCTACCTCAGTTTGCGACTGCAAGAAAGCGTCTTCGTGCGGAGACAGGTGATAACTTGCGGCGGCGCGAAATGTCAGGTTCCGGCCGGCGTTTGAGCTATGGGGAATGGTGAGAGGAAGAGAGTTTGGAAGCGGAGGAGGAGGAGATGCTGATCGGTGGCGGGAGAGCTGACGGGCGGCGACTTGTTAGGTTTTGTTCTTCCGAGGCCTGAGAGAGAGATCGGGGAATGGGGGCAGCTGTTCCAGGGCCAAACTTGGATCCAAACTCTTGGGCCGGCCCATTCTCTCGTTTTCTTTTTCTTTCCATCTCTCTCCAACCACGGCATTCAACCCTATTTATTTACGAGTTTATAACCCGCCCCGTTGACCGAAATGTTCGCAGAATGATTTCATTTTTCAGACATGGAGAAATCCCCTCGTAAAAGTTGACGCAAAAGATCCTAGTCTGGGAGATCATCGCGAAACAGAGTCAAGCAACGGATCACACTATTTCACTAACGAGACCAGAGTTGCGTCGAGACGTGGCTGTTGGGTGGAGACCGGCCCTGGACGGATGCCTCACAGTGAGCTCTGACGACTCGCTGTTGCGACCATCAGGATCAACCACTGCACGAGGCGCGCTTAGAGACGGACAACGTCGCTTACTAGGGGCCTGGAAAATGCACAATAACTCGCGCGGAGCTATGGGGAGCACTCCCAGGCCTCCAACTAGTGTGGGATACATGCTACAGAAAAATGGAACTCCATCTTGACTCCACTGCGGCGATGCAGCTCCTAGCACCCGACGCCTCCACTGATCATCAGCATGCGAGCATCATCCTTGCATTTCGAGAACTTAAAGCTAGAGAATGGGAAACTCGGGTGGTACGCATTTATCGCGAAGCCAACCGCCTCGCGGATGATCTTGCTCACAGGGACCATTCTTTAGGTCCTGGGTCTATCTCTTTCGATCCCTTGTATGACACTATTGGCGGGGTTGCCATTCGTTCTATTAATTGTTAAGAAGTAGTGGTGCTTTGCACCCATTCGTAAAAAAAATGTTTATGTTTAACTTTATCAATCCGTTTAATTTTATTGACAATTATTTGATAGAAATGATACATAAAAAATGAATGTATAGGTCGAACATTTGAAGAAACACTATCATCATTTAAGAATATAAAATATAAAAATGTATCCTTAATCCCATTTCATAAAGATAATTAAGCTCCCATTAAAACACTATTGATTAATTGATTGTCAGGAAAAATAGAGTATAAAAGCCCACTAGAATTCCCATACGACCCATAGATAATTGGACTAAACTAAAATCTCACAATCCTACGTAAAGAGTTCAATGTTCTCATTTTAAGAACAACATGCCACTAATAAAAAAGAAATGGAGAGTTGTTGATTCAAGTAAACCATATACTAACAACTCAACTAAAAGGGGACCATCAAAACTTGAGAGCAAATGACAAAATCAGGGTTGCCTCCAATATACTAATAGACTCGATCAACGTAATAAGTCACAAAATGAGACACTTCTTATCTACCAGTTCAGTAGTTTGAATAGAGAATCGACCTTAGTTTTAGTATATCAATCAATGATTCCTTGTTTTAACATAGACATAGGTTGTGGTAGTTGCAACAACCATAAACCTAAAGATCCAATAGCCACCACTCTCCGTTGTACATCCAACTTTTTATCCCCTCTATCTTCAATCTCAAGAGGCATATGTTGCAACCCAAAGTTCACTTTATAATCATCCTCCTGCAACTCTATTTCTACTACTTTGATGGACCTTCTCTCGGTGGCCCTCAATTTCTCTTCAAATTAGGGTTATTGTCAACTCGCTCTTCAACTCCTCAATCCTCTTCTTGTATTTGGCCAACTCATCTTCCTTAGGGGTAGTTGTAATAAGGTTGGTAAAACCAACCCTCATCTCCAATTCCATCAATATGCGCATCTCCTCCTTGACTGCCTTCACGTGCTCCAGTTCACTTCCATACCCTTCAATACCCTCTCCATTTTCATTAATACCCTCATCATCTCTCACTTCTCTCTATTCAACTACTCCAGTTTTGCTTCCATGTCTTTCAGTATCTTCCTCAATTCGATCACTACCCTCACCAACTCCCTCTTCGCTGCCTTCACCTGATGTAGTTAGAGCTGGTATTCTGTTAAACCGGTAACCAGATAACCGGTTAACAATATACCAAATACACTAAATAGCCACCATCTACTGATACCGATTGACAATCGGTAATACCGGTTACCAAATAGCCGGTATCTTCAGACCTTAGGGGTAGTTGTAAAGAACTAACGATTGAACAAAGCTGGCTCGATGCTTCCGGGCAATCAGCAATTGAGAAATTCCACAGCCAAAATAAACCTCAACGAATGGCGAAAGCGAAAAGGAAAATGAGAACTATAGCTCGTTTGGTTTAGTCTGTCGACATTTTCATTATCCCGTGAACCAAATATGCAGAAGATATAGGAAAAAGGCGGGGAAACGAAAGAGAGAAGTCTAGATATCTTCGAATCTCGCCGGAACAGAGCTCGAGCGAGTGGAGATGGAGCGGAAGAGGGGAACAAAGACGCCGACGAGCAAGGGAATGAGGAAGGCAGGCGAGCGAGGCTTGACGGAGATCTGTTTATAGAGTGAGGTGGCGGCTAGATTGTGAGTGTACGCACTGCCGTGTTGTTTAAGCAAGTACATTGTCGTTTTGAGTCAAATTGTCAGGTAAGGGTCGAGAAATTGGAGAGTTGTTAGGAGTCTGTTAATGTTAGTGGGTAGCTAGGGGTCTGTTAGTGAGTAGCTAGAATGAAAGGATGTGAATTAGAGGGTCGGAATGGAAGGGAAAGGATGAGTTCCGAGGGCTGTATATATTGTTCTTTGTTGCTTTTAATAAAACTGTCAGTTTGCTGTCAATTGCTTTGTACAGTCCAGTGTTGTCTCTCCTCCTGGTTTCGATGGTCCGGTGGCGGGTAGAAGATGATGAATGGCACCAAAGATGGACCGAGATCGGCGGCTGCGTACAACGGCAATCTCCTCCGTCGAATCTCGTAAATTAATCATATTAATTATTTTTGTAGTTTAATTAATTTTTATCAAATAAATAATATGATAAAATATATAAACAACTTAAGTGAAAATGTGGAATATGAGATGGACCGATAAATTTATTTTTTATTTAATTTCCACGTCATCTAGTTAACGGTCAAACTTTATAGTTGACTGCCACGTAGGATAAATTTAACCGAGTGTAACGGCCAGTGACTAACGGTGAAACGATTCGTAAAGTTAGTGACGAATAAGAAAGAAAAATAATTTGAGTGGCAAACGTGAAAGATTTGTATAATTCGAGTGACCAAATGTGTAATTTAGGCGTTAAGAATTTTAAAAATTGAGCTTCAACAAAGTTGGGCTTCCATAAAGATTCTAAGCTTTCCATTTCAATTATTCAAGCCCCAATCGGGTTTTACATTTAGTAGATGGTCAGCCCACTATTCCCAAATTTAGTGTTCCTTCAATCTTATTATCGATGTTTTATAAGTGGTTTTGACCCACCAACTTCTCACGTGAAAATGTGAAAGGGTTCTAAGAGCTAGACCCACCAACTTCTCACGTGAAAACTAGTGATATTATCACTAGATCAAACATTTTGTTCGTTCTTGTTTTTCGTTTTCGCACCCCATGTTTCCGATCTCTTGCTGCAGCTGCTGCCCTGTCCACCCTGCAAATCCATGATCGTCTCTTAATTATTATTCTTTCTGGAATATTAGTCTGCCAGAAGATGAAGGGAATTTTGTTGTCATTGGATGGTTCCTTGAGATCTAGGTTTCCATAGATCCCCCAAACCAAATGTTTGTGGGTGAGGGTTTTTATAAAAGTGGAAGTCTCTTTTCAGCCCTTTTTAAGGGGAAATGAAAGGAATGGGAGGGGAAGGAGAAGGGTGGGCTAAATGGGATGCATCATAAGTTCCAATATACAAGGTGTCTTCCCACATGGAGCTGAGAAAGGAATAGCAGTTAGAATTTTCCCCCTTTTTTAGTTCTTTTTGGTTTTCTAGGTGGGGGAAGAAGATGATCCAATGGCTCAAGGCCATAAATTGTTCAACTGCTTGAAGAAAATGGCAAGTTAAGGCTGCTGCTGCCTGAGAAACTCCTTTTGCTTTATGGAGTGGTGGGAATTTGTTCAAGGGGAAGAAGTAAGAGGCAAAGAAAGTGATTTGTAGTTTATGGGGTCAGTTTTTTTTGGGTAAATACAATTTAATATCCAAACCTTTCATTTTAAACAATATAATAGCCAAACCTTTTCGAAAACAATCTAATATCCAAATCGCCAACTTTCCGTTCATTTGACCGTTACTTAACACTTCAAAAAAGTTCGAAGTACGCGCTTCATCAATATTCATCGATATCTTCTCTGAAAAACCACCAACATATCGTGGTTCCAAACCCGAGAAGTCCATGACTCCACCATGATGATATATAATATCTAAATATTCAGTCATCTGCAATGCCAAAACAAGAAAATAAAGTTGTATTGTGACATTTTCCCCTAAACAAAGCTTTTTTGAAGTGTCAACCAACGGTCAAACGGATGAAAAGTTGACGATTTGGATATTAGATTGTTTTTGAAAAGGTTTGGCTATTATATTGTTTAAAATGAAAGGTTTGGATATTAAATTGTATTTTTTTTTATGGGGTCAGTTTAGTTGACGCCTTCAAGCATATTAAAAATGAGAGGACAATGAATGAGATCTCATCTATGTGTCCATACTCTATATTCCAGCTTGTTGACAGGGTTCGGGTCAGCATATCAGATAGCCTTGTCTCGCATAAGTGAGATTACGTGCTTCTTGTTATTCAACAACTAAGTTATTAGGATCAACTGGTTTTTTATATGATAACAGAGCCTTCTGTGACTGAGACTTCTTGTGTTCGAATTCCGGTGACCCCATTTGCAAAACACATGTATTCTGGGGGGTAGTGAATGATATAAGATTCATTATTAAACCTCTCCCAATAATTCGAGTTATTGAGATCAAATGACCTAGAGTTGGAACGGAGGGGAAGATAAGGAAATAAGTGTGTAGTTAGAGATGGCAATTTCGACCCGATCCGCCCCATTCTTGATTTGTTATTACATTCTATTTTAACTATAATAAAGTTGTAAATTAGAAAAAGCCTCAAAATTTCCAATAATTTAACTACATTTATCATATTATGATTTGTTTCTTGGTCCTATTGTTTTTCATATAAATTACATACCTATTAGGTCTACCTGTCCCGACCCACGCTCCATAATAAATTAGCCGACCTGAACCTGACCTGACACGAGACAAACATAAGTATCGAAATATTCGCCCCGAAGCTGTCCATTGCCATTGGTAAGTGTAGGTGAATATGTTATGTTAACTCATAAAATAGGGTTTGGGTGTACACTTTTGCTATATGTTTGTGATGATTCCATGAAAGCGATAAGAAATTGCGTTATGAAGAGAATATGCATCGCGTCAGCGGAAGGACAGGGGCTTGGTTGTACCTCTCATTTGTCGGCTAGTTTTCTGCTAAACAAATCTCCTTTTATATTCCTTTCCACAGACACTGATTGAGTAGCAGCTGGCGCTGGCGCTCTTTCAAATTTGGTGCAGTGTTCGTCTGATCAGCACGTGAAATCCCAAAGTAATGGGCCAAAAATCATGCATATGATTTTCGAATCCCAGTTTGTTCCTTCTGATAAGATACATGTAGGTTGGGATTTAATTAGTAATTAAGGATAGGTATATAGGGATGGCAATTTCGACCTGACCCGATTTATCCGATCTATTTGACTTGTTTTGGGCGGGGTGGACATGGGTATTCTCATCGACCCGACTTGTCCTGACCTGTTCCATTCTCGACCCGTTCGTGTCTAAATTACACTAGTTTTGTGCCCGCCCGATGGGCGTCGAGTTTCCTATGTGTGTACTTTTTTCCCCTTCTATTATCTGTAATTTCTTCCAATGATATAAGATTCCTACTTTTCATATTTATTAATTATTGTCATCTTTTATCCGTGTTTCATCTAATATGATCCAGATTTTAATCATGATCAACAATAATGCCAAACAACGTTGTAACTTCATCACCGCTTGGAAAATAGTATTCATGACCATCCGATCTTTGATTCACCAATCATTTTCAACTTCATAAGTTGTACGTGGTTTAAGCTAGCATACGCCACCTTACCGTACTCCTATCGAGTTTAGCTATTTAGACCATGTATATATTAACGGAGTTTGGACATGATACTATACCATAGTCTCTAATGGGTGAACTTCAGTCTCTAATTCTCCAATTCAAATCTTACGATTCATTAATGCAAAAAATAATAACCACCGATTATTATTTGACAAAATATATTAAAGTACAACTAATAGATGTGAATCAAGGTATATATTACATCTCGAGTGTTCGCTAGCTTTTTCTACTATTATATTAAAGTACAACCAAACTATGATGCTATGCTTCTATATTACCTTCAACATTTTATGAATGATATCAAAACAAAATGTTAGTTATATAGACACTTTGGCTTCGCTTCACATTATCATCCAATATTAAATGTGTGACTGACTGTAACGGGAATTGTTTGATAACTTAATACAAATATAAAGGCGCTCTGTTGTGCAATCAGTACAATAGATGAATTTACAAGACATCGGTGAAGGTATGATCCCGCGTTGGTTTTACAGGACATCGATCCGGGTATGTCTCGTGCTTTTATATAGGATATCGGTCAGGGTATGATCCCGCAGTGAATTTACAGGACACCAATATAGGTACGATCCGATGTGGTATACATGACATCTATTGTACTATCCGAGGAGTGTATGACTTGGAAAATTAAGAAGTAAAGGGGCACTGAATCAACCTAACCATACATGTGATTGAATCCTTGTATAAAGATTACTATGATGCGGTTAAGTGATAACTTTCTATGATGTGATATACGAAATGTGCATGTCGATGATGATGGTTATGTGATGGTTTTCTATGGTGTTTTATACAATGATTTACCATTAGATGGTGTGATGTTTTGCTATGTTGGGACATGGTTACATGGTGATGCCAGTATGATGTGATGCTTGGTGAATACATATTTATACAATGAGTTATCAAGAGACTGTTTGATGGTCCTTATGTTATGAATATATGAATTCTTTGAGTTTGAGATGATGCATGTGTATGGCATGTGGTGATGAATGGATGTTTATTTGACTGATTGAGATACAACATATCGGGTATATCTTATGAGTGGGGTTATCCGGCGAGTATAACTTGCCGGTTATTAAAAATAGTAATAGTAATGAGTGGTTCTATCGTACCTTGGGTAAAATCAAAGGTATGACATACCTTGAGTAGTAAGAAAATGATATGTAGACCTTGAATTGATCAGAGTTCGGCATAAGGTACTATTCCAAAACCGTGAAAGATTAAATTCTAGGTCTTGATTCTATAAATCATCTCATAAGATCAATTTAATTACAAACAAAAACCGATGGTCATGATTCATCGAAATATATGCAAAAAATTAAGTGCACAATCTTCGGGGTTAGGCTATATGATTTAGGTATCTAAGACCTAGGGTTTACTCATCAAGGGTTACACCGTTAGAGTAGGGTATCATGCCCAAAAATCAGATTAATTCGGGGTTTAATAGTGTTTTCCTACTTAGGGTATGTCCTAGATTATAACCAAGGTACGATGTATGCCACCAATAGTAATATATGTATTAGGGGGTCACATTAAGTAAGGATTAAAATAGTTCTTTACATCTCAACCATTATATATATCAAATAGCTTAAGATTCATTTAGAAATCTTGCTTAATTTAGGTGCTATGCATCTAAACATATCTTAAAGTTGCGCATCTACATTTATGTAGGACAAAGAAATGGGCTTATTTCAACCAATAAAAAGAGAAAAGAAATGAATTATAAGTACATCAGGAAAAAAGTAAAGACAATATATTTTATAATTGCGCATGAAAGAAAATCTAATCACATATAAAAATGAAAATAGAAAAAAATTGGAATCGTTTATAAATTTAAGAAATTGGAGTAGTAAGAAAATCACATTTCAAATTATGTAAGAGTTTATAATTGTGTAAATCATGTTTTTGGATTTTTTAATTATTTTTAAAAAATTATCAAACATGTTATAAACTAAAAATCAAAATTGGTTATTTCTAGTTGTTAATGGTTTCTATCATTGCTGAAAAATAGAATATAATATTTTAATCGTGATTGTTTTTGTTGTGTAATATATAGAAGTTTAACTTAAATAAAAATAGAATGTTATGTGTTATATATTTTTTTTATAACATGAGTATTAATTTTGTGATTACTTTCATCGAAGAGATTTTATTCTATTGGTTAACTAATTTAAATTATTACAGTTTGAGCTCTTAGGTTGCATGATTAAATATTAGTTATGGTGATTGATATGCATGTTTTGTTGTGATTAATAGTATCAAATATACTTTATCCTAGTGGTTGAACACTTGAAATGATGATAGGTTTATTTGATAGGTCACAGGTTCAAATCTAGGTCATGATGATTGGTATACATGTTTATTTAGTTTTATTTTAATGTAATTAATAACTTAAAATGTTAAAATCATAAATGAAATGAAAAATTGTGGAGTTTTCTTTGTCCTACGTGGCAAGACCTTTTTCCACAACGGCCATAATATAAGTTAAGATGTAATCTTAGTCAAATTATTTAGATTTTTTTTATATTACATTATATTTTAGCTATTATAAAGCTGTGAATTAGTGAAAACTTCAATTTCTCCAATAACTTAACTACATTTTATCATATTATGATTTGTTTCTTGGTCTTATAATGAAAATATCTAATATTTCTAATACTTTCCATATAAATTACATACTCATTAGGTCGACCTGCCCCGACCTGCGCCCCATAATAAATTACCCGACCTGCCCTTTCCATATAACTACCTTTCTCTATAATTCTATAGGCATTGCCAGAAACCGTTTGATTTCAATATGATCTAGACGCCTATTGGTGTCTTTCTTCTTAAAAAAAAATCTTTATCATAGAAGAAAATTACACCTACTAATAAGAAATTCTAACCTTTGACCCGCCAAAAGGAAGCCCAAATTGTTAACTTTTTACATAATGCATATTTGACTACGAAATCATCAATTAATCCGTAGAATAAAATTCCTCCTTCGCACTAAGGGGTCGTTTGGAAGTTGAGATTGTTTTGTCTCAGCTTGTCATTATGCATGTATTGTTTACAATGCATCGTTTTTTTGTTTTTTCAGCAGAAACAATACATGGATTGTTTCTATGATGTGACATAAACTATCACTCATTTTGAGTGATTGTTATATCTCAACTTTTAGTTGTGATTGTTGAGATAGTTGAGTTGAGATTGTTTTGTCTCAGCTTTTAGCTGATGCGACATACACAATCACACATACCAAACGTTGTATTCTACAATGCATCAAATTCGACAATACATGTATAATATTATACATGCATTCTCAACAATACATCTATTTAACAATCGCAACTTCCAAACGACCCTAAGCCAGACAGCCAGTAAGCCACCATAAACAGAAACAAAATAAAAGAAAATAAATATGGTTGAAATCTGGCTATCATGTCACTGTGGCCCAAGGCCAAGTTCCACAGTCCAAACCACAAACTACCACACTCTCACCTTTTTCTCTTCCCTCTCCCCGTCAGTTAATCTTCCCTCCTCTCTGTCATTTTCCTTTGGCCACCCCACCACCATGAACCAGGCTCCTCCCTTAATCATCATCCCTCAAATTCGATCACACGGACTTATTCTGCTGGTTGAAGGGCCGGCTCCCAGTTCCAGTACTAATTCCTGCTCTTAATCTCACAAATCACAATCCCATGTCAGGAAAACCACAATCTCTTGTTCTCCTACCCGCCAATCTCAAAAAGCTGTGCAAATTTGAGAGCTTTTAAGCTCAAAGACAAGCCACAAGCACTTTCCTGCCTCATTTTCACCAAACCAATTCAGGGTCCTTCTCTAAACACCCCATTGTTTTTCTAGAAATGGTTTCTGGGCTTCCCCTATTTCTTGCTTCGAGTAATCTTGAAGCAAACACTATTCATTTTTGTAGTCTTGCAGAAAGACAACTTCTTTCTGTCCCTCTCTCTCCTTTTCTCTTCTGCCAACAGCATTTTAGCTGATTAATCTCCTCCTGCTGCCAATAGAGATTTGGGGATTTGGTGTGTGGCTGTTTACGGGATGGGGTTTGTTGTCGACAGTCGGTTGGTGTTGCTGGTGAAGCTCTGTGCCATTGGCTTGATTTTCATCATCCAAGGATCTTCAGGTAGAATTCCATACTCGTCACTTCACTCTTAGTTGTTTCAGCCTGATTTGTCTAAATTTGGGATTGGAAGTTTTGTTCTTTCTTTCTTTCTTGCCTCTGGGTGGTGGTTGGTTGTTGCCATTTTTTCTTTTTCTCCTTCTACCTTTTTGGTTCCTTATGGGATATTCTATTTTTAATGATCTGATGAGTTGGTTGAAAAAGTTCTGATGCTGCTGCTATTTGAAGAAGCTTTGTGGGCGCCCAATTGGCAAGCAATTGAATTTTTTTGGGTTTAACTTAGAATTCTCAATGGGTTGGATTAGATGGTCTAGAGACTTGAGATCCAGTAGTTTGGCTGTATTGTTTGTTTCTTCATTATTGCAAACGAGTACAACTGAGATTGGAAACTAACTGTCCTAGAATCGTTGCTGGATAGCATTTAACAGTGGAAGTTTTGCTCGTTGTTCATCTGAATATAGCATGAAACTCAAGTGCCTTGGTGCAATTCTTGTTTGAATAGGGTAACTGGAGACTATTGGCTTGTTTTTTTTCTTTCAGGTTTTAGCATATCACCAACTCAGGGAAATGAAATTCATTTGGCAGAGGGAGTTCAGAGTCCAGTCCATCAGATTAAGCCATTCGAAAGCAATCCACCGAGCTCAGAGTCCCTCCTAGATGATATTGGGATAACCAACGTTGAGAATGCTGGTGTGAAAAATGCAGGTCCTACAACGTTCGACACTCCGCCTGAATCGATTTCGGGGCAGGCACCATTCTACCAGCCTAGTCCAGTTGGATCACCACCACCTTATAGCTCTGCTCCTCCACCTGTAGTAATTTCTGGAAGTGTGCCTCCTGAATCTCCAACTGTTTCATTTACACCTACATCACATGGGATAGTAGCTCCATCACCCGGAATTTTCCAAGGAAGTGTAGCACCTTTGCCATCAAAAGCTGATGAAGGAAGTGTTTCTCTTGACCCTCCCTTACCAAGTATCGCTCCTCCCCCTCAGATTTCTGGAGGGAACGTTGCACCTGTACCATCTAACTCTGTTGAAGGACATGTAGCACCTATGCCATCCAACTCTTCCGGAGGTGTTTTAGTTAGACCCCCAGCACATAGTATAGTGCCTCCTCCTCAAATATCTCAAGGACAAGTAGCACCTATGCCATCGAACTCCAATGCAGGAAATGTTTCCTTAGCACCTCCACCAAAGAGTATGGTTTCTCCTCCCCAGATATCTCAAGGACAGCCTGCACCTTCGCCATCGAGCACTTCTGGAGGAGGTGTATCATTGGTACCTCCACCACATAATACTATAGCTCCTCCGCCTCAGAAGTTTGATGGACATGTAGCACCTATGCCATCAAACGATTCTGGAAGTGGGCAGCCGGGTGCAAAGGCTCCTGCCTCTGTGCCAGGTTGGTAAATTAATGCTCTTTTATCCTTGTGGAATCCCAGTAATTTCAAAGTTTGAATGTGAATTCTGAAAATTCTACTATGTCTGGTTCCAGTTGCAACACCTCCAGCTAATTCTTCACCAAGCCTACCATCCACCCGCCCAGGTGTCCCAGAAACTTCTCCGGGTAGTACTCATCAGAACAGCACACCATTCAATGGTTCTCCTCTCCAAAAACCAGTTTCTCCAGGTATAAGAAGCAGTATATTGCTGTATCACTATACTTAAGACTGGAGTTTAATCTGGGAACGCAGAATTTGATCTCTTGAATTTGTTTGCCTTACATATGTCCAGCAGCTGCATTACCTCCAAGGATCTTAGTGAGGGAGAAACCAATGCGACATCCAATTGCACCAGCCGTCATTATCCCCTCTGTCTCCCCAGGTAGGTCTTATTCGTTTCTTGTACTGTTTGACTAGTTTTTCTTCTCTTTTCAAATTGCCCACATTGACCATTTGCAGGTTATTTTGTCCGATTCCAGTTCAGTCACCCGTAGGAGACTTGCAACATAATTCATCAAGAAATCTCCCAGTTGCACCTATGACATCTCCTCCAAGATTGAAAGGTTCCCCTTATGCCAGATGCTTAGATTTTCCATTCTGGAAATATTTTTTATAAATAGCTGTAGATAGATCTATAGATTTTTGGTAGAAAAGAAGCATTTTAAATTCAGATATCATACATGTGTCCTGTTACAGATCCTGAGGTCTCATCTCCATCATCTACTCCTCCAAGGACTCATTGGAGAAAAGATGAACCTCCAGCTACTGCACCCTCAGCTGAAATAGAAAAGCCCTTGCCAGTGTTGCCACCTACAAACAATTCACCTAGTAAGGGTATGTGTTCTGCAAACCCCAGCACACAAGGACAGGAAGAAAAAAAAACTATCATGTCCTTAATATTACTACTAGATGGGAGAGTAACTTAAATGTATGAATTTGCAGCTTTTTCTCCTGCTGTGGCTCCTTCTGTGCCCAAATCTGTGCAGCATTCGAGTGAAGCTCCTTCTCCATCTTCTCATAATCTCAACAAAGTAAGAAATGGAATCAGCAGCGCTCCTCCCAGATCATCATATGTCATACCTCCTCAGTCTTCAGAAGAGCCAGGTCTAGATCTCCACCTATGACATTTTTTTACACTTCTTTACCTATGACATTTGAAAAGAATGTGAAATGGTAGTTTTATGGTTTATCATACTTGAAATATATATATCCAACTTACCAACTGCTTGGTGCAGCACTCCCTCCATCATCTCTTCCAACTAGCAGGCCCACAAACTTCGCTTCTCCACCTCACCATCCAGGTACTAAATACTGAAGAGTTTATCTGTTTGATCTCCAGAACAGGTTGAGTTGTTAATCTGGTTCATTTACTGCAGGTACTATGCCGGTTATAGGTGTTCCACTTGCTCCCTCGCCATCAGAGACAGCAGCATCTAACTGGACCACAAGTAATACTGTTTTTCCTCTTTCCCTATTGGTGTCAATCCAAACTCTTCAAGCTCTAAAAGTCACGTGTCATCAATTCAATGTGATACCTTACCTTTGCTTCTTGTTACGTTTTATAGTACCAATTCTTTCACCAAAAGTTTCTCCGAGATCTTCATCGAAGAACCCTATGCCCTTGTTTCCGCCAATCCATGCATTGCCACCTCCACCACCTAATCAAGGTATGCAACATGATCATTTTGCTGTTGTTATTTGATGATATTTCAATCCTACTTGCTGTAGTAACACATGATAGCTGAATGGTATCTTGTAGATTGTTCAACGACTGTTTGCTTGGATCCTTATGCGAACACTCCTCCCGGTTCTCCATGTGGATGTGTGTTGCCCATGAAAGTAGGACTGCGCCTTAGTGTTGCGCTATATACATTTTTCCCTTTGGTTTCTGAATTTGCTCAAGAACTGGCAACTGGGGTTTTCATGAAACAAAGTCAAGTCAGGATTATGGGAGCCAATGCTGCTAGCCAGGAACCTGATAAGACCATCGTCCTCATTGACTTGGTTCCACTTGGACAGAAGTTTGACAATACAACTGCTTTCTTGACTTACCAAAGGTTTTGGCTGAAACAAGTGGCAATACAAACTTCCTTATTCGGTGACTACCAAGTCCTCTTTGTGCGCTATCCAGGTAGAAGCTGTAGAATTTGACCTACTAAATTTCTAGCATTGTTCAGATTATCTAATGATGATGTGCACTATGTAGGTTTACCGGAATCTCCTCCTTCAGCAGCTTCTGGGATTACTATCATCGACGATGGGCCATACTCTGGCAATGGAAACAATGCAAGAACGATAAAGCCCCTAGGAGTTGATGTATCCAAAAGGCGCCAAAAGAATGGACTTAATGGTGCTGTCATTGCTATTATTGCTCTGTCAGCTTCTATTGTTGTCATTTTGTGCTCGGCAGTTGCTTGGATTTTTATTTCCAGGAAGAGAGGCCATCAGGGCAGAGAGCCATCACCAGCTCTCCCACCTATGCCTGCTTCTGTTGCAAAACCCTCAGGTGCTGCCTTGCATGCATGAAATTAGATATCTTCCCCTTGTTGTTATTAAAGCAGGAAGTTGACATTTAGCTGCTGTGATATTATTGCAGGGACTACTGTGTCGGCTCTTGGGAGCGCTCTCAGTTCTAATTCATTGTCATTTGGCTCTAGTATTGCACCATACACGGGATCTGCCAAAACCTTCAGCGCAAGTGACATCGAGAAAGCGACAGATAACTTCGACGATTCAAGAATACTCGGGGAAGGTGGTTTTGGACGTGTTTATAGTGGTGTTCTTGAAGATGGGACGGAAGTAGCAGTGAAAGTTTTGAAAAGGGACGACCAACAAAGTGGTCGAGAATTCCTTGCAGAAGTTGAGATGCTTAGCCGCCTTCACCATAGAAACCTTGTCAAGTTGATTGGGATATGCACAGAAGAGCATGCTCGATGTTTGGTCTATGAGCTAGTACCTAATGGCAGTGTGGAATCTCATTTGCATGGTACAGCTGGCTAAAATTAATAGGGTTTGTAGCCAGTAGCTAAAAAGTTATTTACTGAGCATTGATCTCCACATATCCTTTGTATTTTTTGTTTAGGGGACGATAAGGAATCAACTCCAATGGATTGGGATGTCCGGATCAAGATAGCGCTTGGTGCAGCTCGAGGTCTTGCTTATCTTCACGAGGATTCAAGTCCGCGTGTCATCCACAGGGATTTCAAAGCCAGCAACATCCTGTTGGAGAGTGATTTCACTCCAAAAGTCTCCGACTTTGGATTGGCACGATCTGCCCTGGATGAGGAAACCAGCCATATATCCACTCGTGTCATGGGAACCTTTGGGTGAGAATCCTCTTTCATGACTTTCAGATTGCTGCTACTATAGCAACACTACTAGAACCTTGGTAACGCTAGTTGAAAGATGCATAATAATGATAACAAACATAATTGGTAATATGTCAAAAACAGGTATGTGGCCCCTGAGTATGCAATGACCGGCCATCTTCTAGTGAAGAGCGATGTATACAGCTACGGTGTAGTCCTTCTCGAGCTTTTGAGTGGGAGAAAGCCAGTGGATATGTCACAACCACTAGGTCAAGAGAACCTAGTAGCATGGGCGCGCCCACTTCTGACAAGTAGAGAAGGGCTGGAAATGATAATCGATCCATCTCTAGGCCTCGATGTCCCCTTCGATAGTGTGGCCAAAGTTGCAGCCATTGCGTCCATGTGTGTGCAGCCGGAGGTGTCTCATCGCCCTTTCATGGGCGAAGTTGTTCAAGCATTGAAACTGGTGTGCAATGAGTGCGATGAGGCGAAGGAAGTAGGGTCGATAAGTTCCAGCCGAGATTTATCAGTGGATGGTGGCGAGGCCAGTACCACCTCGGGGAAGCTGCTGCCAGAGATGTTCCATGACCAGAGATTGGGGCTAGGGCCGAGCAACTATGACTCTGATCCGGATATCGAGAGAGGGCTAACGTTGTCGGATATGTTTGGCACGTCGGGAAGATTTGGGAGGCAGGCACCAGCATCGGCATCGTTCAGGAGGTATTCGAGTTCGGGTCCATTGAGTAGTGGGAAGGGAAGGGAGTGGTGGCAGAGAATGAGAAGATTGAGAGGGGAGAGTGTGAGTGAACATGGGATCATGTTCAGACAATGGGCAGGTTCATATTGAAAGCTTGGCCAAAACTCTTGTTTATGTGTGAATATTGATTTATTGCACAGTTCTTAGGAGGAGGCTAGAGGAATGAATGGTGAAATAAGTTTTGGGGAAAACCATTTACAAGGAGACTAGAAAAGAAGTTGCATCCCAGCGTGGATTGACAGTAAAGAAGGATGAAGGAAGTATGACAGCAAGTGAGTTTTGACCCTTTTGAGTAATAACAGACAAAGAGGAGGGCAATTTAACTTGAATGCTTTATCATTGTCCAGATACCAAATTGTAATTTAACCCCTTTGGTCGGTTTGAGGGGTACACATGTAATGTAAGAATCAATGTAAAATGTAAAGTGGAGCAAAATGCTGCAACTACAAGTGTACAGTTTTTTTGTTCCTCCCTGTTATTTAGATCATGTTTAACAATTGTGGATCAACCTAGCTAATTATTAACATATTCAAGAAAAAAATAGAAGAAATGCTTAATTGATAGATGGCATGGGATAAGAACAAATAGAAGACATGCTACAATGACATGTTGGTTAAGAGGTCATCTATCTAAAAAAACTTGACATTTTGACCCGTCACATTAACGTTAAAACTCAAATTATACTCATTAACGTTAAAACTCAAATTATACTTTTGTGACATGTCCCGTGTGACCCGACCTGTATATGGTAGGTATTATCCGATCTGTAGTAGAGTCAAGCGTAGGGTGAGGCATGGGTATTGCTTCCGATTTGTCTTGCCCTGTCCCGCCCTATTCTCGACTCATTCTATCATGATTTGCATTAATATTCACATGTATTTATTGTCTTTTGACCTTTCTAAAATCATATTATCATTCCATAGAAATTTTAAGACTCGATCTTTCAACTCTTTAGAGGAATTACTCCTACTATATTTCTCATTCACTTATGAAGTTTTTTTTTTAATGTCTTCTTGTAAAAGAGTTGAACATCGACGTTAGTTTTGCAAATAACGTACAAGAATGGATCAACCCGCTCACCCATACTCACGCGGATATTACCCGACCTAACTCGTACTTAGTGCATACAAGTATGAATATTGAAATACCCGTCCCACCCATTACCATCACTACTTCCAACTCACTATCACTAAAATATAAGATTATCCTCGTTTTTTCCTCTAAACCCCATTACAAGTAGATAGATGCCACAAGGAGAGGTTCACATTCGGCAAGGGGATTAGTTATCAAGGATTAGAGTGATTCGATTATCTTGGCTCGAGGTATTCATTTTGTTGATATTGATGACCCGCTTAAAGTTGAACTTTTAGTGCTCATAGAGGCCATCCAGTGGTGTCTGGATTGTGGTTTCTTGCAAGTTTGGTTTGAAAGAGACACAAAAGTGGTCATTGATAAGGTAAATTTGACTGGTGCTCGAGATAATCGTTTTGGAGCCATTCAGTTAATAGTATTTGGCTCCTGAACTATGAAGGTTTTCCTATCATCACTCCTGTATGAATTTTTTCTAACACTTTTTTTTTTTGACAAAAGATATTCAATATATAGAATCACCAAAAGAGATAGTTACACCCTGGAAAACAGCCAGGTCTGATAATTAAACAAACGACTCGTAGTCGGCGACAATGAAAGGGCCTTTCTAGCCACCAAATGGGCTACCCTATTGTTACGACGACCTACAAACCGAACACTAAAGCCCGACTGTACAGCAAAAAGCGACACAACTTCCTCCAGAATTGCTCCTATTCGTGCATCGCCAATCTCAGCCCTAGCAATTTTATCAATGACCACCTTGGCGTCTCCCTCAAAACAAACATGATTGAACCCATGCGCCAGACACCACCACACAGCCTCACGTAGCGTCAGAGCCTCTACCACCAACGGGTCATCCATACCATTAAATTGAACACCGTGGGCCACTACCATACCTCCATCCCGAGTCATAACTACTATCCCGCCGGCAGAGTGAGATCCAAGCCGCGTTGCCCCATCCCACCTGCAAATAACCGGACTACCATCCCCAGTGCTACTTGAAGGCGGCGCAGGCCTACCCGCAGGGGAGCCAGCGCTCCTTCAAATATAAAGATTTTTTTGTCGTGACCTTTGACATGATATTTATATAAATAACTTTTTATACTTAAACTATTTTTGTATACATGTTTCGGAAGATATTTGCGATATTTTGTGTTACCCAATTATAGATTTTGGGCATTAAAAATATGTTAACGAGAGATTAACTTGTATCTTTAAGGTAATTTCTTAATTAAACACTCATTACTTTTTAAATGATTTATAGTCATTGATGCATGCAATACATTTTCTAAATTTAGGCACAAAACTCTTAATGAATTTTTTTAACTCATGGCTAAATCTATAACATGCTAATATGAAAAAATATCAATATTTGTCATCAGAATGATTCCTCCCACTATAAAAATGACTCCCCGATTCATTTCTTTCACAGTTTCACAGTAGAAGATATGGAAGAACGCCTAAACCCTCAATTCTGTTTCTCTCCCAGTATCACAAAAGAAGAGCTCGAAGAACGCCTAAACCCTAACTCGGAGAAATGGAGAACGACGGTAGTAAAACCTTTCTCATTCGCTTTGTTCTCTTTGTAGACTACATTTTCTTCCGTACTCCATTTCAATCTTCGTTCTCCTCTGGTGATTCCAGATTATCAGCTCGTGACTCAGGCGGATTAGCTGACACACCTTTCTGTCATCCAAATGCCAGTGACCCTAAAGTGATGGGTTTTTGACACAGAGGGTTTCGAGATTGGATCTTATGGGGGAGCTCGTGACAGATTAAGCCACATGCATATCCACCGTCGATTGGTCTTCTCCTCCTCCAAAGTTCGATTAAACTATTTCTAGGCCGTTGTGGTTGATGTTCGAAACAAGCATCTCAATCTCGCGCGAGAGGTCGACTATTTCTGAATTCAGATCTCTTGGCTTTTCCTCCACAACAAAGCATCTCAATCTCGGCGCGAGGTTGCAGGCCTTTAGCAAGGCTAACAATTTTGTAATGAGATTTGGAGAAGAAGCTCAGGTATCTCTGAGTCTTCCTTCAGCTTTTATAGCTGGGATTCAATTAAACAAAATGAGCCAGTTGTCCTTACATCATTCGTCCAAGTTAAAACTAAACAGTAACTTAACGGCTATTAAGTGGAAATAAACAAAACGTTGTCGTCTTCTCTTGTTCACTTCTCTTCTAGTAATACGTCGTCGTTCTTCTTTACTTCTTCAATGATTCCAGTGAATCCTTCCCCAATCTGGATTTCTTCTTCTTCTTCATCTGCTCGACTTCTCTTCTTCACTGCTTCTCTTCTGCAACTCTGCAATCTTCAATTCTTCGATTCTGTCAGCCCCCCTCAAGTTGGTGGTATCAACTTGATCCCCAACTTGACAAGTAAGTCTCTTAGCCTGAATCGATCCAATCCTTTGGTGAATAAATCAGCTAGTTGCTCTGCTGTGTTGATGTACTTCAAAGTGATTAAACCTGTCTTGATCCTTTCCCTAGTCACATGAATGTCAATTTCAATGTGCTTTGTTCTTTCATGGAAAACAGGGTTTTCTGCTATGTGAATAGCAGATCTGTTGTCACAGTATACTGTTATAGGCAATGGGACCTCCACTGTTAACTCTGTCAGCAACCTCTTCAGCCATTCCACTTCACAGACAAGGTGAGCCAGTGCTCTATACTCTGCCTCAGATGAAGATCTTGAGACAGTTGTTTGCTTCTTTGTTTTCCAGGTTATCAGGGAGGAACCAAGCATGGTGCAATATCCAGTGATGGATCTTCTGGTGTCTGGGCAACTTGCCCAATCTGAGTCACTGTATCCTGTCAACTTTAACTCAGCCTGATTGCTAAAATGAATACCCTGATCAGGAGATGATTTCAAGTACCTGAGGACCCTGTAAGCAGCTTGCATGTGCTCTGAGCAAGGAGACTTCTGGTACTGACATAGCTGCTGAACAGCAAAGGCTATGTCAGGTCTAGTGATAGTTAGATAATGCAGTCTTCCCACCAGTCTTCTGTAACTTTCTGCATCTTCTAATAAAGTGCCCTGAGATGACAACTTTACTTTGGTATCAATTGGAGTTTTACATCCTTTAGATTCCAGGTACCCTGTATCCTTTAACAAGTCAATGCAGTACTTTCTTTGACACACATCCAGTCCATTCTCATTTCTGTTCACTTCCAACCCCAGAAAGTATTTCAAAGGTCCAAGAAGTTTTATCTTAAATTCCTTACTTAATGCTGCCTTCACTTGCTCAATGTCCTTCCTTGAATCACCTCCCAATATGATATCATCAACATACACCAACAAAACTGTAATCTTCCCATGTGTCCACTTGGTAAAAAGAGAATAGTCAGAAGCAGATTGTGAAAAACCAAACTTCAAAAGGAAACCTGTCAATTTTGCAAACCATTGCCTTGATGCCTGCTTGAGGCCATAGAGTGACTTTTTCAGTCTACAAGTCATCTTCTGATTGCTTCCAGATGGTACTTCCAATCCCAGGGGTAACTTCATGTAAACAACTTCCTCTAAATCTCCATGTAGAAAAGCATTGGATACATCCAATTGCTCTAGGACCCACTGCTTCACACTTGCAACTGCTAAGAATGTTTTCACTGTATTAATCTTAGCTACAGGTGAGTAGGTGTCTAGGAAATCAATTCCATACACCTGTGTGTAGCCCTTAGCTACTAGTCTAGCTTTACTCCTTTCCAGTGATCCATCCTGATGTAGTTTTATCTTATAAACCCACTTATTCCCTATTTCCTTCACTCCTGGTGGCAATGGAACTATGTCCCATGTCTGGTTCTCTTCCAAGGCATGCATTTCATCTTTCATAGCCCTGTTCCACACATCTGATTTCACTGCCTCATAATAAGATTTTGGCTCCACAAGATTGATAACACTCAGTGCAAAACATCTGTCTTCTTTGCTTAAAGAATTAACATTCAGACAGATAGGGTACTTGGTGCTAGCATTTACCCCACCAAATGCTCCAAACTTGAGAGAGGAGTCCAATTCATAATCATTGTACCTGGTTGGCAGTTTTATGTGTCTTGAGGGCCTTCTATTATCCTCTGTGCTGGGTTCATTAAGGTCTGGATCAGCTTGAGGATATAGCTCTTGCTCATCTGAGTCAAAATAAGTGTAGTGGTCACTTCTTGGTGTTGTCCTTGGACCAGATGAGAACTCCTGCTCAGGATCCCCCCCTTCATCCATGGATGATTGAGACTGTGGAGCAGGTTGAGCAGGATTAATAGAAAAGGGAATATGCAGAGATGGAGCTGGAACTGTATCAGAAGTATTAGGAGTAGATGGACTGGGAGGAGAGGAGGTTGTGTCAGAAGATTTGAAAGGAAGTATAGTTTCATAGAATGAAACATTTCTGGAGAAAAAGACTTGCTTGGTGTGGATGTCAAGGACTTTGTATCCTTTGAGACCAGAGGGGATCCCTATAAACACACACTGCTTTGCTCTAGGAGCAAATTTTGTTCTACCATGGACCAAGGTATTGGCATAACAGAGACATCCAAATACCTTCAAATGGCCTAAAAATGGAGCTTTCTTGTGTAACAGTTCATAGGGGGTTCTGTTGTTTAGAATGGGGGTAGGCATTCTGTTGATCAAGTAAACAGAATGTAGTATAAAGTCACTCCAATAAACCAAAGGCAGCCCTGACTGAAACTTCAAACATCTAGCCACATTAAGAATGTGCTGATGTTTCCTCTCCACTCTCCCATTCTGTTCAGGGGTCTCTACACAGGAGACCTGGTGTTCTATGCCTGCTGAACTAAAGAATTCACACATTTCAAATTCTTTACCTTGATCTGTTCTAATAACCTTAACAGATTTGTGAAACTGGTTCTCAACCAACTTGCAAAAACCTTGGATTAACCCCCTTACCTCACTTTTGTGTTTCATCAAGTACACCCACACACATCTAGTAAAATCATCCACAACAGTTAAAAAGTATGAAAATCCATCATAAGAAACTGTGGACAATGGTCCCCAAATATCCATGTGTATCAAATGAAAAGCCTCAGGTGCAATGCTGGTGCTAACAGGGAAAGGTAATTTTCTTTGTTTGGACAAATGACACACTTCACAGTGAGTGGTCTTGGTTCTAGCTATAGAGGGAATTACATGACTAAGTAAAGACTGCCTATCATGGCTAGGGTGTCCTAGTCTCCAGTGCCACAGGTTGAGGTCTTGTGGAATGAAGTTGAAGATGGTGGCTGCTTGGTGTTGAAGAAGTGGTGAGGAAGGCTTTGGTTGTCTTGAAGATAGGGCAAGATGGTAGAGTCCTCTAGTTGTGTGGGCTAAACCAATCCTCTTCTGGTTTAAGAGGTCCTGGATTTCACATTTATCAGAATGAAAATGTAAGGAATATGGGTTATCAAGGGTAAGTTTGCTAACAGAGATAAGGTTAAAAGAGAATTGTGGCACTAGGAGAACATCATGTAGTTTTAATCCACAATCTAGTGTAACTGTCCCTATACATGTGACATTAACTTTTGTGCTATTTGGGAGATAAACAAAAGTATCTTGGACAGGTCTATAACTGGAGAAAAGGGATAGATGACAGGCTATGTGATCTGAGGCTCCTGTATCTACAATCCATAAGGCTAGGTTTTGTGTTTTACAGTTCTGAGAAGAAGATAGGACATGTTTACCTGAGAATGAAGGGAAGGTGGTAGGGTAAAGAGTGGCTGAATATGCTTGGTGGTTAATGGATGGTGAGGTGGGTGGTGAAGGTTGAGTGCCAGCACCAGATTGCAATAAAATCCTGAGTCTGTTCATCTCTTCTGGAGTAAAACCAAGTGTTGTGGATGATTTGCTCTCATTCATGACACTTCCCTCAGACACACTGTCACTTCCACTGTTCTGAGAGATAGAACCAGCAAACCTTGGAGTGCTGGAGCTTGAACCAGAACTAGAGGATGACCCCCCATTACCACTGCCATCTCTTTGCATTTCCTGCTTTCTTTTCAGCTTCCAGCAGTCTTCAATATTGTGGTTGTTCATTTTGCAAAATCGACAAAACTTCCTTCCTCTTCCTTCATTGTTGTCCCTTGAACTGTTATCCCTGGAATTGTTACCAGGGCTTCCACCAACTGCCAAAGCCAGACTTTGGCCTTTCTTGTTTCCTGCAGAGTTATCTGCCTTCAACTTCTGCTCATGTTGCAGCAAATCATCCACTGCTGTTGATACTGTAGGCAATGGTTTCTGCAGCAGGAGTTGAGTCTTGATCACTTCATACTCTGGATTGAGTCCTCTCAGGAACCTTACAAGGTAGTCAGTCTCCTGCTTCTGGATAAAAGCAGCCACAGCAGCACAGGGTATGGGATTCCCAGGTGCACAAACACATGGAACAACAGGACTAAACTCAACATACTCATCCCAGAGCCCTTTGATGGCTGTGTAATACTGACTTATAGATCTAGTTCCCTGTTTACAAGCCTGTATTTCATCTTCCAAGTTCAAGATTCTAAGTGCATTAGGTTGACCATATCGTCTCTTCAACTCATCCCATAATGCCTTAGCATTTGTGTGATTCAACACAGACCTTCTTATCTCCTTAATCATAGAGTTCTGTAGCCAACAGAGAACTACAGTGTTGCAAGCATCCCACAAGTTAAACAAATCTGCATCTCGAGGAGGAATGGGCACTGACCCATCAATAAAACCCAGTTTGTTCTTAGTCTTAAGAACAACTTGCATAGATCTACTCCACATCACATAATTAGTTCCATCGAAACTCTCAGCAACAAGGGATTGAGACATATTCTCATTTGGGTTGAGATAGTAAGGGTTACCAAATACCACTGTCTCAGGTTGAAGTTGGTTCTGGTTGAAGGTCCCAAACTGAAACCCTGTTGCACCTGTAGTCGTCGTCGATGCACTACCACCTGTTCCATTGTTCGGCGGCGTGTTTGGTGGAGTCTGTGCTGCAGACATTGTGCTGTGGGCGGCGGAAAAACCCTAGAGCTCGTTGAGCTCTGATACCATAACAATTTTGTAATGAGATTTGGAGAAGAAGCTCAGGTATCTCTGAGTCTTCCTTCAGCTTTTATAGCTGGGATTCAATTAAACAAAATGAGCCAGTTGTCCTTACATCATTCGTCCAAGTTAAAACTAAACAGTAACTTAACGGCTATTAAGTGGAAATAAACAAAACGTTGTCGTCTTCTCTTGTTCACTTCTCTTCTAGTAATACGTCGTCGTTCTTCTTTACTTCTTCAATGATTCCAGTGAATCCTTCCCCAATCTGGATTTCTTCTTCTTCTTCATCTGCTCGACTTCTCTTCTTCACTGCTTCTCTTCTGCAACTCTGCAATCTTCAATTCTTCGATTCTGTTAGCTTGGTCGTCGGCTTAAGCGAAGTCTCCAGATTGTGCAATACGACAATCTGTCTGACCATCGAATGAGGAAAGAAGGAGATGAGGGTAAATTGAGCTTTCTATAATTAGCGTCCAAATCCCACATATCTAAACAAGGGAATTTGCCCAAATAACTCATTTAAAATTCTTGGTGTTTTAATCAAGAGATTTGGATCCAAATTTTTGACAAATCACTCATGCCAAAATTCCCGATCCAAAAGATCCCTTCACGTTAGTGATTTGCACTTTCCTACGTATTTTGCTAAAAACAAATATGATTTGACATAAACTAGTTGTACCATCGGTCGAACCATTCACTTGTGAGTTGTGAGCCTAGCATAAACCGGTTTGACAACCTTGGTATCTACGGGAGAGGGGGGGAGAGTTTGTCTCTAGTTGACGTACACAATCGAAACCACGAGACGAAACCTCACAACTCTGTTAAACCAGCGCGTGACTTCACAGCTCCCCCTCACTGCCGTCCTTCGCCACCATCAGCTCCACTGCTCCAGCAATGGCGAGTCTCCCTCGATCCGATCTACTCTTCCATTTCCAATTCCGAGCTCCCGATTCGCCGAATCGACCGATCCGAGCTCAAGCATTTCATTTCGCGCTCTGATAATATCGGTGTCTTGTTTGTTTGCAGGCATCGAAGCCGGTCACCGCCCCAGTCCCGATCACTTGGTACCCAACCCTATCAGTTCTCATGCTCTCTATCGGCCTTCTCATCACCGCCTCCTTCTTCATGTGAGTTCGATGATTCCCGATTTCCAGTTTCCTTGTGTTTGGACAGAGAATTAGGTTGTATAATATTAAATTTGCAATTCGATGTTATGACAACTGCCACTTTGGATCCTCGGATTTAGGGTTTTAGAGTTACTACCATCTGCTTGATTGGGTAATGGCACTCAACTGGAAAGCAAGCTGCACATTTCGTTGCACTCAGTTAGTCGAGAGACCGTCAATGCAACCTTGTGTAGCTCTAGAAATGCTCTCAAATGTTATTCCTCAACGTTCCCCGGTTCGCAATGGATGATCTATAGTCTTCACTCTCTGAAATGTTGGAGAATTTTGAAGCATTCTGGTAGAATCATCTTCTACTTCTCACTCTTTGTGTACTCGGGAATTGATTTTGAATGTGTTACCAGGAAGCTTCATCAGTGACCAAAACAAGTTTCCTTTCTGCTTTTCGATTTCTTTTAAGCTTTACGAATTATGATGGATATGGATTGCCTTGACTGTCCTCGAATTCCACTTCTCAGATATAAAGCTTTGTACTTGGGAAGGCATGTATATGTAAGCTTGAGTTATTGCTACTCATGTCAGTGTGTTTTTGCTTTGATGCTTTGTCTTGTTTAAGTTTCCTCTTTGAATTTGCTCACAATAGTTAGTGGTGTCCTCACTGAAACCTGAGGTGCATTTGCCATCTTTTATAACTCCATCCATCGTGCCTTGACAATAGCATTCATTCAATGGTCTTCTTTCAAGCTCATTTTGACATTGTTTCTTATGTTTCTTGGCAATCTCTTCTTTTTTCCAGCTATGAAGCCACGTCCTCGAGGAAAACCCGCAGTCTTGGGAAAGAACTGACCACAGGAGCGCTGGCATCTTTCTTCCTGGTAAGATCTCTCTTGCTTGGATATCTCAGACTTGGATTGCAATCGCAATTATGTCACCTTTTCTTCAAAATGCTGATTGTCCCGTTTACTTCCTTTTTGCAGGGTTTTGGGTCCTTGTTCCTGCTCCTCGCATCGGGCGTTTATGTTTAGACTAGACTCTTATGATATTTACTCCCCGTAGAACTGCTTAAAATTTTGTCGATGAGACTTGCTTTATAGAAGAAATGTTTGACGGTTTTCAGCTGAATAGAGTATTTTGGCAATGAGACGCAGAACGTTTTCTTGCCCTTGATAATAGTTTGGAGTGGTCTATTTTTCCAGACAACCTCAGTGTTGTGGTTTGCAGTTGCGGTTGGATTAACTACCCAAGTTTTTTTTCCTACTCTGTAATTCGCCGTTTCTTGAATTCTGTCATTCTTTTTTTATCAGAGTGTAGGGGAAGATCATAGTTGTATGTTCGAAAAGATGATAAACGATGCTTTGTGAATGAATCGAAAATTTCGAAAAGCATACGAGTAACGAGGATTGCTGTTGGCAAATCTTTCCCTAAACGAGTGTGTATGGTGCTTGGTAGCTTTGTGGACAAGTAAGCAAGTAGATAGTAAGAACAAGCATTGCATTATAAACTCAGGCAAGGAACGAGAAAACGTGTGAATTGAATTAAACCAATAGTTCCTAACCCAACCCAGAAAACAGAATTTTTTTGCTGCACTCCTACAGTTCTCATTTCTAAGCGTTGTTGGACGACGGTAGCTTCAAGATGAGGTTGGCATATATGAGCTCGTTCCAGGCATCGGGCACCCCGGGGAGACACCAGTGGCTGCAATCCTGTACCACTTTAATGCTACTATTCGTGGAACTACTCTTTCTATAAACTGATGGGTGGCCATCCTTTCTAAAATTGGTAAGCCTCGTCACATTCAGTAGTCTAACAGGGAACTTCATCCCTGCTATCACTTCTTCCACTACCTTCATCTTCGCAGGGTAGCTGTTCACTATTGCTCCATCGTCGTTCAGTACTGGTTCCTTCTCATTGTAGCACGACCCTCCCGAGTCCCAGTCTCCACCTCTGTTACAATAGCAGCAAGATACATAGAAAGGATGTTAGGCACCAGAAACAAAGCCTTCCATATGAAGGGCAGAAATAAAAGGGGAACCGAGTGAGAAAGAGTTAACAGAATGATGAACCGTAGTGAGGAGATTTACCTGAAATGGGCTGACGAATATCCGCGATAGAAGACCAATTGTTTTGAGGTATTCAAATTTTGATCGATCCACCTTCCCCAGGTCTGCAAAGCTCGTCGATATGCCTCGGTCACATCAAGGTGGGGATAGAGGTAGTCGCCTTCTTTGTAGTAATTTACCCTGTGCATTAAATCAAGACAGTCAGTTCAATTACATACCACCAGTTAGAGCCAGGAAAACTTTGCAAGATCGCAAAGCAATGCAGACAAGAAGATTAGACCATGGAGGTATAATAAATGTATTTACCCACGGGAAGTTTTCCTATGTCTCCACCAGTGGCCGGTATTAAACACAATAATGTCGGCTCGTTTCCATTTCTTTGATGTCTTGTCAACTTGATCTATGGACAGAGTTGGATTAGAGTTGCCTTGTCCATTAACTCGACTCCCTTCTTTAACAAGGTAGTGGGACAGTGCATATTCCACAGAACAGTTAAAATCCTGTCCACAAATAACTAGTTAAGAGAGTGTCTCAGTTATGCATACGGAATAAGCAAACACATCATGTATGAATCAGTAGCTAAGTCTAAACTGCTCCATGTTCCTACTTAGTCACCTAATTCAACAGTATAAAATCTATCATATATGCATATGCTTGATCAAACACAGAGAACGGGGAGGGCGGTGAATAACTAACCAGAAACTTGAAGACGTAGGAACCCCTCCCTTTGGTAATTTTATGGCCACTGATCTCAAGCATTCTAGTCTTATCAGGCAGGCCTTCCCGGAGTAGACATAAGATCGATTCGAATTGGTTTCGGTTCATGGAGTCCCCAACCAGCAGCAACTTCTGACCTCGTAGCCTTTCCAAGAAATCTGTTGCATTGAACCTATGAATTGAATATGAAGAGGTATAGTTACAATCATCATAAAGATACATTTTTCTTCCTAATCATCTGGCATAACATATGTTGGTTAACCAGCAGTTCATGCAGTGAATTTCCAAACAAGAACAAGCAAAATGGTCGATTAGAATTGAGACTTGAGAGTGATCAATGACTATGGCATATTCTGTAAGCACCATCGTCTGATTTCGTCCCATCTTTATGTCCTTTCTGATAAACAAGGCAATAGATACTGACAATGGAAGCTCAAATCCCACATTTCAGTGCAAGTTGTCGTTTAGTTCTACTTCTACAAATTTCTTCACTCGCCCAGCTAAAATAAGAAATCCAGAGCTCAATTCCAAGGAAGATAACAGGATCGATTTACCTTGGAAGATCGCATCCATGGGGCTTCCACCGCCACCGTAGATAGTCGGCATCAGGCCGCCCATTCCCCTGGCAATCGAAAGCTTCATCAACATACTCACACGATCCCGGTTTGTAAATCGGGTAATCATCGTCTCTCACCCAGCTCCCCATGTACAGATCGCAGTCCTTCAGACCATCTCGCATCACTCTCTCCCTCTCCTCCTCGCCGCCGCCGCTCCCGAATCCGGTATCGGTGGAGGAGGACGAGATCTCGGAAGCAGCAGCAGCAGCGGAATCGCTACGATTCGCAGCTCCGCTATCCACATCCTTCAGCACCGCAGCTTCTAAAACTACTACCGCCGCGGCTGTAATGTTCTTGTCGCCGTCGGCGAACGACCGGGCCTCGGATTCTGCATCGTCGGCGGCGGGATTAGGTTTCCGGAGGAGGAGTGAAGGCGGCGGCGGGGGAGTGAAGGTTTGGGGATGGACTGGGGGGAAGAAATCGTCGAGGGATTGCTGGAGGTAGCGGCGGTTGGAGAGGAAGACGACGGAGAGGAAGAGAGAAGCGGAGAGGAAGATGGTTAGAGTGTAGCGGTTCTTGTCGGAGGAAATGGGAGGAGAGTCGGCCATGTATTCGGCGGCGAAGGCGATTGCTCCGGAGAGGAGAGCATTATTTGATTAGGACAGCCACTGGATGGATTGTTGTCGCCATCTTTTTACTTTTTGCTCTTCCTTAATATTCAGGGGTCATTTGGATGCAGGTTTTGGGTACAATCCTACATAATGTGAGATTTTATTAAAATCACTCGTTTGGAAAGCAATTATATAATAAGAGATTTTAAATATTAGAGATTTCAGAAACCCACAATTGTGGGATTATGAAATAGCTGATGGTGATCAGCTATTTTAAAATCCCACACAAATCCCACAAATTAAAAACCTAGGTTTTTAAACCAGTGATTTGAGCCAAAATCCCACAAATTAAAAACCTGGATCCAAATGACCCCTCAGTAGTGCTGGTGTGTATAAGCAAATACGGGAATTGGTAGTCTACGTTCGAATTTGTTTGAACAGAAGTCAAGGTCCAAATTAAATAAGGTAGCCGACCGGTACAACTTTTATCAGTAGTATCTATAATAAAATTCTACAAAAATAAGATATTTGACTATTATTCGATGCACTAGTTTTGCATTGAAAGAATATATTAATTACGATTTACTTTTATAATATTAATTTTGCTATAATAACTCAAATCATGTATTTCTTTTTCATACTATCGAATAATCATCATATTATTAGCCGTCTCACACACTTAACACAGAGTTCTAAAACTAGTAACATTAATCTTTGAACTATTATATTTGGTTATTATGTTATGAAAATGTTCATATGATATTGAGATGTTGATCATGTAAATTATAAACAATAAATTCTATCAAATTCACACAATAAGCATTAATTGTTATATATTACTCAACTCATTTGGTAACTTCTATCAAAGAAATGAAATTCACATGCATGAAGAGTTGTGGTTGGTGATTTTCTTTTCTTTGACATCGAGTTTTTTATTTTATTTTTATAAGGGTGATATTTACTTTTAATAATTAAAAGTACTAATTAAGGGATTCGAATCTGGAACCTTCAAGCTCTAGACTAGTGTTATTACTACTAGATCAAACCGTTGGTCGTAACATTGAATATTTTATTAGAAGTGACTAGTTGAACACTTTGTATGAGTAATAAAAAACTTTGCAAGTTACACTACTAATCAGACCCACGACATACAAATCGAGAGATGTCTGAATTGTTATATTCTTCATAATTCGTGAGAAATTTATTGTAAATGTTAGTCAAACTGACAAGTTGAAAAATCACTTTGCTTGTAAACCTGTAAACCTGTAATCCAACCACACTTACTCCATCCGTACTGAATACAAGAAGTGAATGCCAATTGTTGGGAATAGGTTTATCCCTACACGTTGCCCTGTTCACTTTCATTTTCGTTTCCTGTTTTCTGTTTTCATGTCATAAATTTGGTAACCGAAATGAGAAAACTTGTTTACTTTTCATTCCGTTTTCTATTCGTTTCCAACTATGAAAACAGAAAGTGGCAACTTCCTGCTGTTTTCGGAAACGACAAAATGTTGTTTTCACCTGTTTTCAACATCTGTTTTCTCAAAAACAGGAAACAGAAATGAAAGTAAACAGGCCCTAAGCTCGTACGATGAGCCAACCCCGAAGGAACCGGTTGGAGCCAAGTGAGTTTCAGTTCAGATTCATCCTATTCAAATGACATGATTGCAGTGAAGCTTGCTGTTCAACTAGCTGGGCAGAACCAGGTTCGAGCAAAAACTGGGATTCTAACTGATGCCCCATACACGCTGTCGATGCAGCATTACTTCACATATCCTCCTTTCCGTCGACACCCAGAAGCTTAGTTAGTTCACCGTTGTCATAAGCTTCAACAGTGTCTGTTAAAGCAGAGAAGAAAATATAGTCACAAGGTCTCTAGGGAATGTCAAGATGGTAACCAAAAAGTCGGTTGGGACGGAGAAGAACATTGTGAAACTTACCATCAGAGCCACCAATGTGCTTGCCATCGACGAAAACTTGAGGCACAGTGCGTCTCCCCACGAGCTCACCCAATGCTTCTTGTATGTCGTACCCATCCTCTGCTCGCCACAATGAAACACAGCAAAGTTCAGAGAGCTTCGACGACAATCCACTTGCATAAAACTTCGGATTCAATAAGTAGAGTAATGTGCGTTGTAGATCAATGAGCTATACGTTTTCTTCCCATGCCATTCACAAACATGTCTCTGTCCATGATTCATCACACACACATAGAAGATAACTTTGTAGAGGGAAAATTTCTGTTACCTCTCTCGTCAAGCTCAATCACATATGGTTCCTTGTTCAAGTCTTTGAATACAGCTTTAGCCGTCCCGCAGTATCTGCCAAGCAACAACGTAAGAGATAAATGCCAGCACCACAAAAGACTTCGAAAGAAAGCCACCCATTCAAGCAAACAAGATCTCCATTGAAATGGATTCATTCATTCTTCTGCACCACACGTACACCACCATGAAGAGGATGCCAAGACTAGTATAAATTTCCCCCATTGTACAAACCTTTCCAAACAGCAGAAATGGCAACATAGATATGCAGGATATAACGACATTGGACTCGGATAAGATGTGGGTCAACTGAATTGGTCCAATTAAAGACTTCGTCTAAACAAAAACAGTATGAGATCTAATCCAAAGCAGAGCGAGCTCAGAGCTGAAAACGAATTGGTTCGACAAAATGAGTTCCTGGGTAGAACCTAGAACGTATCTCTACCACAGAGTAATCCATACCAAATTCACTGGGAAACGGAAGAGAATCTTAACAGCACGAGCAAATGGGTAATGAAATTTTGGGCAAAAGGCGCAGTTTTGAGGGGAGTTGGACTTACGGGCAATATGACTTGGAGAAGATAACGATCTGGTGGGAAGAGATGGCGTTCTTGACAAACGCAGCCTCAGGAGAAGCCGCGGAGGCCGATGGCCAGCTGAAGGATGCGGCAGCAGCTATATAAACTGCTAGAGTTGTTGTAGCTGCGAATATCGACGTAGCTCGAGCGCTTGCCGCCATTGATGAACAGAAGGTAGGAAGAACTTCTTGTATACCCAGAAAAGATCGACCACAGCGAAGGTTGCGTGGCTCCTTAGTGGTGGATGCTCGAATGGGTAGATGATTAAGAAGCGAAAAGCGATGAGTAGCCTGGGCTTCGCGCCGGCAGGTTCTGATATTCCCGGCCGCCGACGATAGCAAAACGTGGGAATGGGATGCCATTTTGCCTTCACCTTCTCTGTTTCGCGTTTAAACTGAAACTTGTTGACCAGACACTGGTAAGCACCTTATAGACTATAGTCCTTATTCATTCACTTATTTAGGTACTTTTCAAAACAGCTCATTTTTTACATCCATTTGTTTGAAATCTATGCATTTTGGATATATGCGTAGCATAGCAATTACAGGTGTTTTCCTCAAGAAAGAAGAACGGGCTGGCTGCAGCGACTTTCACCAAGGATCTAATTCTAAACAGACCTTTCAAGTTTCAACATAGAAAGTAAGCCAGTACTCCAAGCCTCCAACCCCTAACCTGTCCAGGATATCAGCAGCATAACCAATCCATCAAAGATAAAGATCGTCCGAATTTCTGTGGTTAACTTTTGATGACTAATGGAAGTGAATCAAATCATGCATAAGGTTCATCCACACGGATGTCATTCAAAATCCTGTATCGAACTTTCAAACCGTACAATCTGAGTCGTTTTTCATTACAAAGTCTGCAGTCAATTCTCATAACTAACATTGTAAGATAGCACCAACTATTATTAGCTCACAGGTGAATGACTAGCTTCTGGTTGATTATACCAAATAGCACTCACTAGAACTCACTGCTGGTTGCAACTATTTAGTCAGGATGTCGAGCAAACAGCCTCTATCTATAGATAGGAACGCCCTTGGTCGCACGTACCAAGCTGGATTCAGATACCGAAAAACCATCTCGATGGAGTGTTAGTTCACAAATCCTCCTTTTCATCCACGTTAATGCCCAGAAGCTTAGCCAGTTCACCACTCTCATATGCTTCAACAGTATCTGTTGAATGTAAAAGAGAGAAATAGTCAGGTCTCTAGTGAGTTTTAAGACAGCATGAGCTTTTACTGGAGAACTGAAGTTGAAGAGCTTCAGATACTTACCATCAGAGCCACCAATGTGCTTGCCGTTGATGAAAACCTGAGGTACTGTTCGTTTCCCTACGAGCTGACCCAATGCAGCCTGGATGTCTTGCCCATCATCTGTCCAAAAGAAAGTTCAGTATTGCCAGTGAGGTGACGACACTTGTCATGGTACTTATTTTAAAAAATTCCTCTCGACAGAGAACTATCAAAGCCATCTCCTAACAATGACAATAGAGTAATGGACCTCCAGAAGAATCCAGGCATAGGTTTAATGATATACATTTGGGTCTAGGAAAGGGGAGACAAGGCAAGGTAGTCAGAATCATTATGAAGACCAAGGCATACTAGTGAAGGTAGTCAGATTCTCTAACAAAATAAGATGGACCAATCTCGAGGTATTGTTCCCGGTTGGTAGTCAGACAGAGATGTAATGTAAATTCGTAAGCCTAGAAAGGATCGGGATCATAAACTCAAATCGTAGAATCGTAACATGTTATTGATCACATAAAAACCCACCGTTTATCAAAATTGACCAATCGACTTTGTCTAGTATAAGCATTCTTAATATATTCTATAACAGCATTAGTTGTATACACACAAGAAATATTGAATGTTACATATGATAGGTTAATCGTATATCATGATTCATGAGATAAAGTATGGCAGGGGCTCCATAGATCTGCACAATGCAGCTTCTGGAATGAAAAGATCAGAATCATAACCATTATAAATGCCTAATGAACATAATTTGTTAAAACTTACATGAGCTTAACATAAGGACTCGCTGGATTTGTATAAAGTAGTTGATTTTCTTACCCTGATTCTACTTGGCTTGATTTCCACAGGCAACATCATAATATTCTACAACTTTAAGATTTGCACAAGATAAAAGCAAACTCATTTACAACTCGACTACTCAGCCTAGACACAGATTTTCAATGCGGGAAGCCGAACATTGGCCGGAGATCCTGCTCTTGCAAAGCCTGTTGGTTCTTTGCTATTCAAGAACTGTGGCAGGGTTACCGACTTTCTTTACCCGTCTAATTTAGCACCACCTCTTGCCGACTATTGTGTTTCAAATCAAATGGATCAATCAATCAGCTCTTACTTTTCTACCCATGTTTTTTCACAAGTATGTCTGTCTACTAATCATTACACTCAGAGAACATAATTGAGAGAGATTTGTTAACGCACCTCTCTCGTCAAGTTCAACCACATATGGCTTCTGGTTCAACTCTTTGAAAACAGCTTTAGCCCTCCTACAATATCTGCCGAGCAACAAGCAACATAGCCACAAACATCAAAAATCAATACCACCTTTAGTAACTAAGCCATTGAAAGAAACAAGATCTCAATCGAAAGGCATTCCTGGCATCACACAAACTACACCACGTAAAGGACCCAGAGAAGACTGACGGAGAAACCGAGTTCGAACCAGAGCCACTTTATTTTTTCCGAGCAGAAATCAGATCCGAGATACCGTAATCGTCAAAACCAGTTTCTGGGTATTGCATATCTACCACACAGCGATCAATCCCAACATTCAGTCGGAAACGAAACCGAATCTTAAACGCACGAGCAAATTAGATAAACAAAAAATTGGGGGAAAGGCACCGATTTTGGAGTTGAACTTACGGGCAATAGGATTTGGAGAAGATGACGATCTGGTGCGATTTGATGGTCTTCTTGACGAAAGATTTCGGGGAAGCGGCAGAGGCTAATGGCCAGCTGAAGGATGCGGCAGCTATTATTACCAGAGCTGCTGTAGCTGCGAAAATCGACGACGCTCTCACCCTTGCTGCCATTGATGAACTGAAAGTGTTAACTCCTGTAGCCAGAAATGATGGCCGTCAACGAACGCTGTGATGGGTCGCCTGGGTTTTGCTTCGAGAGGTTTTAATACTTCCGGCTACTAACGATGGGATTAACAAAATTGGACCAACTTCAAGGTCGCCTATTAAATCTAACCCTTTTCCTACCAAAATACCCAATTTTTCATTCTCAGCTCGCTCTTTTTCTCCGATCGTACAACTCTTAATTGTTAAATTTAATATCCTCAGTTTTTTTTCTTTTGATCTTTTAACATAAATTTTACTTATTGATAATCTATATTTTTTACTTTAATCTTTTTATGATTAGTCGTTGGTTTTGAAAACAAATCTTTCAATGTAATATTTAATTATTTTGGATATATTTTTTCAAGAAATAATAAACAAACAAAGAAAAAATTAAGTTTTTATTCAATAAATTTTGTGTTTTTTTATTCAATAAATTTTGTGTTGACATGCATGTCACGGTGACTTGCACTTTCCGGTCGACCTCAGTTAGGATTAGGTCGACCTCATTTAGAATACGGTCGACCTCATATAGGATCCGGTCGACCTAATATGTTGTTTCAGTGTAAAAACAGTTCAAGGTGCCTACTTTGGATATTCATATCATACAATTGGCTAGATGAAAATTGAAGACTAATGACTTGTTTTGAAGTTGAAGTGTCCCTCTACATATTGAAGTGATTGAGAGCTCGATAGGAAGTCCAGAAGACCATTTTTGAACCTCATCAAAAGGCTATGCCAAAACTGGGAAAGTGCCTAGAAATGGCTAAGTCTGGAAACGTGTTTGTGAAGCCTATTTTTGAGCTCAATTCGAGAAGCATGAATGCGAGTCGAGTCCAGGAGCCTCTACCACGTTAAATTAGGTATGTTTTTATACAAATTCAAGGAATTGGATGAAAGATTGGATATATTTAAGGCTTCAAACAAAAGGGTCGAAGTTGCTACAAAGGCTGTTTTTCTGGCAGACTTCGAGCACAAGCAAGCTGCCAGAAAAACAGCCTTCGTAGCAACTTCGAGCCTTTTGTTTGAAGCCTTAAAGATATTCAATCTTTCATTCAATGCCTTGCCTTTGTATAAAAAAATACATAATTTAACGTGGTAGAGGCCCCTGGACTTGACTCGCATCCATGCTTCTCAAATTGAGCTCCAAAGTAGGCTTGACAAACACGTTGCCAGACTTAGCCATTTTCAGGCAGTTTCCCAGTTTTGGCATAGCCTTTTGGTCAGGTTCAAAAATGGTCTTCTGGACTTTCTAATGAGCTCCCAAGTACTTTAATGTGTAGAGGGACACTTAAGCTTCAAAACAAGCCTTTAATCTCCAATTTCCATCTAGCCAATTGTAAGATATGAATCTCCAAAGTAGGCCCCATGAAACTGTTTTTACACTGAAACAACTGATTAGTTCGACCTGATCCTATATGAGGTCGACCGAAAAGTGCATGTCACCGTGACATGCATGTCACCGTAGCAAAGTCCTTAAGTTTTTAGTTAGCAAATTTAATTAGCTTCTTTAACACATAAATTTAATTAGAAAAAACCAGTCAGGTGCAGGATGCATACAAGGGGAAGAGTGTCTTGCGCCACACATAAAAATATTAAGACTACCTTCAACCACGGGTGGCAAAAGTGGTAGGTGACCAATCATGCACACTCATGCTTGAAGGTAGTCTTAATATTTTGTTTTTTGTTTTTTTTTTAGAAAGTTAGACGCATAGCATCTAATTCACATTAGAGAAACAACGTTCATAGAAAACTCCCATTACATCATGTTGAAGCCATTAAACAAGGTCCTTGTAGCACACATCGAAAGGATTTGTGTCAAAATCATAGTCATGGCCTTGCTCGCCAAGTAATCGGCGACAAAGTTAGCTTCCTTATACACGTGGGATATAATAACTTCCCAATCAAGATTCAAAAGATGGTTAAACTATTTTGCAATGCTTATACGGCTGTGGTCATCCTTGTAACAATGCTTGGTAATATCGATCACCGTCATAGAGTCAAGGTTGAGTTGGATCTTGCGGTAACCTTCATTCCAAGCAATCTTAAGTCCTTTCACCACCCCTTTAACTCTACAGCAGTGATGGAGCATGAGCCAAGTTTGCAGATAAGAGCTCCTCTACATCTTCCCATATGGTCTTTAAACATGCCTCCTGCTGCAGGCCAGATCCGTCAGATTGTAGTTGGATCTATCCTTTCATAGGTGGTTTTCAACCAATCAGTCTGCTATGGCCCTTCATCGTCTTCATGTTGGTTGTTTTCTGAACATTTTGCTGTGCTTGCCAAACAATGTTGAAACAAGCTTGGACCCTTGCAACCAGGCAATTCTTTGAGAAGACACGCCCCTCCATGATCTTTTCGTTCCTTTGTTCCCACAAGTGATTACAAATTATGCCAAACACAATAGCAGCTTCATCATGTCTGGGGTTAGTACTCATCCACTCGTTCAATGGGAGACTCGGGTTGTTAATTGCTAATATACTCCGAAACTTCTCCCACACGCTTCTAGCTTTGCTGAAACTTCTCACAATGTGCAAAATGGTATTTTCATCTTTGTAGTGGTTGCAGTAGTTGTTCGTTGATATCTATGTTGGTTAGCAATCGATTATGCATCACGAGCCACAGCCACAGAAGTGCTTCATTCTACTTAGCCCCTTCCCGTTCCAGAAATCCTTCCTATATCTGCCAGCTTCCATGTCATCATCTTTTGATGCAAGCTTGCCATCCTTTTTCACGTCCCAGATGTTAGTGTCCTCGGCCAACTCAGGATAAGGAACTTCTATGCCTGCAATCGCCGAAAGAATGTCATTAGGAAGGATCGATCTTAATTTTTTCCAATCCCACTCACCTTCCCCTGTGGTCTATTCTGCCATCACATAGTCATTTTCCTCTTCAGGAATATCAATGAGGGCAAAGTTTTCCAAGACGATATCATTGTCAATCCATAGTTGAGTAAAAAACTTGGTTGACTTCCCATCTCTGAAGCTCCATTCGGTGGCTTGTTTCATCAGGTTCATTCCTTTCACAATATCCTTCCATTGAATGGAGTGGTTGTTTTTCTCATGGACAAGATGTCTCAATTTCGTTGCTTGAAATATTTTCCTTTTAATACTTGAACTCACAAATAAGATTCGTTGTATAACATAATCCACCCTAGCTTAATCATATTGGCCATATTCATTTGTCGAACTGACTTTCACCCTAATCCTCCTTGCTCCATAGGTTTGAAAATGTTCTCCCAAGAAACCAGGTGAGTCTTCCTCTTACCTTCACTAGAACCCCAAACAAACCCCTTGAATTCTCTATCAATGGTCTCACAGATAGAGGCACGGAAAAAGATTGTTTGCATAGCATAGGTGGGAAGGGCATTACGCACATATAGAGCAAGGTTAACCATGCAAACTAAGGAGAGGGTTCTAGCTTTTCAGTTTGTCAACTTTTGATCAATCCTATCAACGATATACCTATAAGTTGTAAGTAGTTTTAGTGATACAACCATGAATCAAATGGACATCTAGGTATCTACCCAAATCATAAGTGGCTTGAATCCCAAGTCTACGACAAATCTCAGCCCTATTATGATTCTTAACGTTCTTAGAGAAAACACTCCAGATTTCTCCTTAATAACAAATTCACCCGATGCTTCTCAGAAACTATACAAATATTTCATGACAGTATTAGCGTGCAGGCGTTAGCTAAAAAAAACTAGGTCGTTTGCAAAAAACAGGTGGGACAAAGCAACCCCCCCCCCCCCCCCCCCCCCCGCGGTGACATGAGTGGATTCCATCTACCATTATTAACATCATAAGAGATACAGTGACTTAACCCTTTCAACACAAAGAGTGAAAAGATAGGGGGAGAGGGGACATAAGACCTCTTGTTGGTTTAAAACTGTCAGTTTCACGTCCATTCCACAACACTTGGTAACTTGCAGTCACACATTCCATGTTGAGTTTGATACAACATTTCGGGATCCAAGCATCTCTGAGTGTTTCTTCAAGAAAATTTCACTCAGTATTGTCTTACGCTTTGTCAAGGTCCAATTTCAAGAGCATGTACCCCTTTTTACGGCTCTTCTTTGACATAGAATGGATGGTTTCTTGCCAAATGTTGAAATTATGAGTAATATGTCAATTTGGGAGGAAGCTAGATTGGAACCTGTTCACTTGGTGGGACATTAGTGGTTTAAGCTTGTTTGCTAATAGCTTTAACTTTTCATTTCGATTAGGCATAAGCCGTCATTTAATTTTTCATTTCGTGGTTGACCACCAAAATTGTTTTAATTGTAACTAAACTATATAAGTCTAAATTTAGTTGTATGGTTATATTTTTTTGTCTTCAAACATAAAAATTAGTAATAAAATGTAATTTTACGTGCCACACATGCAATCCATTTAGTCTAAATTACTGAATCAAATGGTGTGAGATGGTGGCGGGACCTCCAACAAGGAGAAGGTTCACTTATGAGTTATGACAACCATAAAATTCAGCAAAGACCTTTGGGAGGTTTGAAGGATGAAGGATTGGGTCAACAAGCAAGGCTAGCCAAATTTGTTCCTTGCCATGGGAAATTACATTTTGATTTTTTTCGTTAAGTTTGAGGATGAAAAATACAAACATGCAATAAAAAATAGACTCATACAATTTAGTTGCAACTAAAACAATTTAAATGGTCAATCTGCAACGAAAGTAAAAGTTAGTGGCGCCCCATGAAATTCACCCAACCAAAGTACAAACTCTAAAATATGGAAGTAAAATAAAAGTTTGATAAAACAATTCAGTTACGATTCAGGGGTGCAGTTTTTGGCTTTAACCAAAACTGGACAACTTCTACATGCTAATTTGTTTCTTTCAAATAAAAAATCTGTTAATAAACCAATAAAAACCAAAGTTATGAAGAGGCAAAGGAAACCAGCTGTCAAAATTAAAGGTTTGGTTTTAAGTTTATTCTAACTTAAATGCTTAAGGCTTTACTGATTTTTGGTTAGCCAAAAAATAACAAGCTCCTTATGTTTTGGTTTTGAAAATTTGTCCAATTCGAATATTGACTTATGCCACTTTTCAAGTCAATTCACCCTAGCTAGGATCCTCATTGATAAGAATGTTCATCTAATGAATCGA